GGATGGCGGTACCAGCTGGCACTCCGCCGAGTCGACTGCTACGGAATGACGCCGTTTCTGGCAACAACAGCACAGGTTAAATTTTAAGCAAGTAGCACGAATATAAAACTCACTGATGCTATTGGATTGAGCAGGTTGAGTCAACGGAAATGGCTGAGAGCCTGTCGATGGCCCAGATTCTGTCAAAAACAAGGGAATGGCAGCTTGTTGAACATCATTAGCTGATTCTGTTGAGTATATAGTAAAGGATTGAATAATAATAATAAACATAACGGAGGGAAAAACTCTACCCTGTTTTCTTTCGAATCGCTCCGAGTCTCTGAACCTCCGATGGCGATTGATCACTGGTAGGGGAAAGAACTGTGTGAGTTCGTTTCACTGTTGGAAGGATGAGTACACGCATCAAGACCAACACCAAAAACTCACTGTTAGTTCTCTTTGGCGATACAACCTTCATTTTGCCTTTGCCTTTGGGATCCTCGACTTCAGCATCAGTCAACTCCAGTTCTATCAAAGAACTCGCAAGCTCATTGTCCAACTTGGAGATAAATGAATCATTGAGACTGTCCACGTCAGACAAAGCACATCACTGCGATCATCGTGTTCAGAATCTGAACCAGCTATGACAGGTTGAGTGTTCCAAGATTCGTAAACGTCGTCGGGAACCGGTTCCGTGTGACTGATGGAATTGTTAGGGCAACATGCAGCGAGTAGTACGAGAAAGAAACAGGAACACACCAAACCACAGGTGACAATCGCTGACACTTGCTTTATCTCGGCCCTTGTGTTTCACTAGGTCAGTCCTGGTCGGAAATGCAACATCGACAACCGTTAATGTCTGTCCACTCTTGTTAAGGAGTCGCCAAATAGGCTTCTCTTCTTGTGTCGGCGTGCTAATGATGATCGTGATGGCGCTGATGGTCGCTTCTCAACTGGGATATCCAGATAATCAATACCTTAGGAAACCAGCTTGTAACTGGCTGGTGATCTTGTGATAGGACCATCCACTATCAATGATAAATTGCTCAGGCCGGTCAAGGTAACAGCCCGGTTCTTCATAGCCTGTATTTCATTTCAGCCATTCTTGCTTGGGGCTTAGGCACTCTGATGAGACCGTTTCTCTGGAAAATGCTATGAATCAGTGGGTTTAGTAGACTATTAATTGTCTTTGACTAACATCGACACCACAAGTCAATAGAGCAATTGATGCGACACAAAGTGTTAGCTCTGGTCATGGAAAGGTTAGACGTAGTGCTCCTGCGTGTGGCTTCCAAATTTACTAGGTTGCAGTGAGCCACTCCATAGTATCCTTGCGATCCTAGAAGCAACTTCAGTACTAATCTTCATGCACTAGCCGATGATCCCGTACCTTTCGCAAGCCAGCCAACGACACTGGGCCCTTAGCCAGTTTACTGTAACCAGCAAGTCGGGTGGAAGAAAGAGTTGATAAGGCTTCCTCTCGGGCATTGGCGAGTGGTATGCCGGCTTCAGTGAGTCGCTTGGTGGTGGACAACTTTTCATTGATGCTTTTGCCACCACTAGCGATTCGGTCAAAAATATTCTTGACGACAGCTGAGGGATTTCCAAGTCGGTGAGGCTGTTCATCCTCTTGGACTTCCAGTGGTTTGCCACTCCGAGTCGATGCCTTGCGAGGGTGTTTGCTGCGACCGTGACCACACTCCACACAGTGGCCTTCATCCTGCGACCGAGCAAAGAATTCCTCGCAGCCGCACACTTGACTGTCAGATTTGGAACCTCTACAGAAGTGCTCCCGATCCATAGTGTTGCTCTCGGAATCCATGCAGAGCAATAGCACTAGTGGGAGAAGGTAGAGAAAGACTTCACACGAAGAGGAGACAAGAGACAGAAACGACTCGGACCTGAAGAGGATGGTTAACAGGTACTAGATAGTGCGGTTTATATTTAAAGTTTAAAACCTATGACATTCTGCCTGCCTTCTGGTTGACGTATTGTCCGAGTAAGTATTTCAAGAGTAATAACTACTACGACTCTCATAAGTTTAAGTTACTCTTGCCCAGCCGCTAAAAAGTATGACAACACTAGTAACGCCTGACACCATAGCCTTGCCCGGTTGAACCAGCTCGGTTCAGCGAGAGACACATGTAGTTCTTTCGACCCTCGTCGGCCAACAGGGATAGCCTCGAAGATCGGATACTCATCACCTTCCCACTCATTTGCTGCTAGCCTGCAGTCGCACGGTGTTATATCCTCGGCTATGACTTCAATAAGGGTGGCAGAGAATTGCTGGCGTGTTCATCGTTGATGAAAGGATCGATTTGCGATGGAACGCTGATAGCTTCGTGGTGGATATGTGTCGTTGTTGATCATTGATAGTCTGTACCATATGTAGAGGCTCCTCTTCATTATCACTTTCTTCTTCGTCAATTGGATGCCCCGCTCCACTCTGATGTTGTCGTCGAGTCGTAGTAGGGCCATGTACCCCGTAGTGTTCTTCAATCACGTCAGGGTGGACTCCTTCACAGTCGTCTCGATACACGCCAAACTGCATTTGACCTAAAAAACGTAAATCCTGGGTCACAATGAGATAATTTGTCAGGGTCACATAAATGTAAAACGACGCATTTACCTTAGGGCTCTTATCATTTGTATCAGGACCACGCGGATGACAGTTCCATTCCGCCCAGAAATCCGAACAATCTTGATTGATTTCATCGAGGAACAGAGTCTGGAGCAACCAGATATGACTAGGGCTGTGAGGGTTGAGCCCGTGATGGTTTTCAAGTCGAGTGAAAAATGCTCTCCACCTCCTAGCAAACTGCGTGCCAACTTCAACCCATAGACGCTCGATCCACGAATTCCGTGTAGAACTTGTCCAGAATTAGTACCTAACACAAAGCTGCAGAACAAACACATTACGACTCACGATCCCCACATGAAGGACGCACGACGTGGTCCATTCCGCATTATCATATATGTTGCAACATCGAGGTTCTCTCCTCCACGATCGCCTCGCACACGAGAAGGTGTTCCGAAGTTTTGCATTGCGTGAATGAACAGTTCCAAAACTGTGCTGGAGCGATTGTCGTTACTTGCTCTCAGTCCCGTTATCTAATAGACATATAAATTAGAGTCAGTAATCAACGCAAATGCGTTAAAAAAACACATCGCACCGTTCTACAAAACCCGTCATAAAGCCATGAATCACGATCCCCCATTGAATTAACTTATGGTGGCCATCTACATGCCATAACGCATTGGGGCGCTTCACATGGTATTTCCGTCGACGTTTGACCTGTCGATCTCGCAGGACTTGGCCTAAGCCGTCAACCCTGCGAAGCGACTCTACTACTCGTCGATGTTGCACCGGAGACCATGTCTGCGAAGATACCCAACAATGTACCGGATACCTGAATCGGGTCGCTTTTTCTTGAACTCCTTGATGAGGAGATCAAGATCAGTATTGGTAAGAGTGGAGTACTTTCTTTCAACTCCATGGCGCTTCATATAGAGTCGCAGCGTGTTTCTGTGGACTCCTAGCGTTTTGGCAAGTTCCGTAAGTCTAATTTGACGTGAATTCGAGACCGCTTCAGAAAGGAACGCAATGTCGATGAATTTTTTGGACGGCCTGGACGACCTGTATGCAGCAGTGAGACTGGTTCTGGAAACGCAACGTTGGTGTCCATTCTGGGATTCACGCATAGTCAACAATCATTCAAAATGAGATAATACGACTCACGAATTTCGAGTATTGTGTCGAAACGACGACAATTGAACAGAGAGATCTCCTAGCGAGGTTGCTGCACAAGTCAGCCAATCATGCATCTCATGTCCCTGCGGGTCATGTGCAAGGGCTTGAAGCAGGGGTATAGCGTCTCCAGATACAGCCTCTAAGTGAAACGTAGTTGAAGGGGGGTCGGCGTCTTCTTGATGCAGAATACGATAGGCACGTCAGTAGATATCTGACAATGTATCATGAGCCGTAAGAAGAAATTTGCTGACCATGGAGCTTGAGTTGGCATGCGAGATGGAAATGGCGGAAACGCCTGTGGTGGTATAGGCATTACAATCACTGCAGAAATTGAGATTTAGAGCATTCAATAGAATGATAGAGTAGCATACAATGACAATGTATCAAACCCGTGAGAAACATGGTCAGTGGTCACAAACATAGGCAGTCAAACTATAGTTTGACTGCCTTCGTCTAATTTCAACGTCCTGCTAATATGTCGACAGAGGTCTGTTGTACCAACTCGACACCCAATCTATTACTTTAATGCGTCCAGCCACATCTTCCAGGTGAGTTTTATTCATCTATCAAATTATCATACTAATTTGAAAACTTTCCATTGACAGGTAGAGAATACACTATACAAACTCTGCAGTTCAATCTTATCCGCGTCTTCCAATGTCTTTCGTGATATGTTTTCTACCATGGAGAATTCTAGGCAACCAGAAGTAGATGGCATGTGTGATGATAAACCAATTCACCTTAACGGAATATCTCGGGAGACGTTTGAGTTGTTCCTTGAATTCACGTTTGGAAGGTATGTTGATATTTTATGTTTTTAGTCAGTAACTGAACCATTTGTCATGGTAGAATGCATACCGGATCTCATAGCATTGATGAACTCTCGAAATTTCTCCGTTTCTGCGACATGTATCAATGCTCCCATGCACGCGAATTTGTTATTTCCCGCATATCTTCCGCAACATTACTGTTTCCACCCAGCTAAGTTAATCAACCTCGCCATCAAATACCACATCCGCTCCATCTTTCCATATGCTTTCCAGCAACTGGCAGAAACCCCAATTACTGAGCTCACTCATGCCCACCAGGAGTTGATGGGCGACAAAGTTTTTTGAATGTAGTTTATGTTCAGGCTGCACTTGATAGTCACCGCCGGATCGTAGCTGCAGAGGAACCGAAGATCTTGATGCACTCGAATGAGTGTCAAGACCCAACTGGTTTGCAACAAGGACTGGCACGCAATTTGGTGGAATGGTATGGGCCGTTTTCTTCTTGATGGTAGGAATCCACAGCCATACGACGACGCCGTCAAACGCTTCAAGGAACTGCAGTTTGGACGCGTCAGTGAAGGATGCAAAGACCTCATGTTCAAGATTCTCGATCAGGGAGCGGCATTCAAGCACGCCGAACAATTTGTTTCTGAGACTTGCAGCTTCCTAGTAGAGAAACTGGTTTTCGAGCCTGAGCCTCCTTCGCCATAGTCTTACTAGTACTCATGTTAGTTTTACTCGTGTTTGTACCAGTACAAATACTATACTGCAGTGGTCCGAGTCTCAAATTGCTTGAAGGAAAGTAGAGATCATAATTATCATGGCGGCAACTTCAAGTTGAGTTTTGAGTCCAATGAAAACGCGCCAGCTCTGGATTGGCGAAAACGCGCAGTGCGGGAATGCGGAACCTCTTGGTTAAAACGCGCCCCACTCTGGATTGACTAAACGCGCAGCGCGCAAGCCGCGGAACGCGCAAATAATAAATGTGCAGATATAACGCCATAGATCCGAGATGCAATGCGCCGACGTGTTGTTTACGGCCGAGCGGAAAGAGGGCGTATAACACGTAAACCTCGCTTTTAAGTGACCTAGTATACTCGATACATATGATTATGTAAGACGAGTTTCAGATAATCTGGCAAGTTTGTAGGTGCGAAGTCCAGTGTGCCATTTCGGAGTCGGAATCAATGACTGGTAGTGCTTTATTGGGGTTTTGCACAATAACAAGTCCAGGCCCAAGAAAATAGAAATTTGGAATCTAATGTAATGCAGTATCACTTGGTGGGATGTTCAGTGAAAGTACACATACCTGGGCAAATTTTTGCCTTCAGACAAAACAACGAAGCAAGATTGCAGACCATTCAAACAATCGTCCGCGTCAACACTGCCTTTCGAATCTGGGAGGGCGATGGCAATTCTATAGGGCCTTGTCATCTCATATGGATTCGGATCTTGCGAGAGATGGACAGCCCGATTTTGACAGGCACACTACTTGTAAGCATGAGACATTGTTCTTAAGGACGTCGTCATAGCTTAGACAATGCCCCTGTCCAGTGGGAAAAGACAGTCTAACATTGTTGTTGTCTATTATTTGACAACAGCTTCCATTCCCAACAAGTCCAAAACATACAAACACGACGAATAACGATCCCCAATTAATATTGCTTATGAGGGGCATGAACTACCGTGACGCTGTGTCTGCAATTGGCCTGCCAGGTTCATGGCAACCTACTTATAGTAAGCGAGCTGTCACGTATTGTTATCATCACTAGCAGCGTCTACCCAATTTATTCCGTACTCATCGTCTAGCACAGTGTAGAAGTGTTGTCTGCCTCTATTATTTAGGTATAGTTTCTAGTGTCTCTTAACTCATAGAAATGATATCGAAACAAGTTACCGCTGTCGCTCGCAGTCGTTTTTCGCTAGCAGAAGTGCTCAATACACTGCTGTATCATTGTCGAAAGGATGGCGCATGTTCTCTGATTTTTTTCTACTGTTAACATCGCTAACGAACGGCTGCTCTCTTGCATGTACAGGAAAGTCGCCGACACGCATATCAGACGTGCACAGTTCCATTCCAAGACCGTAAAGGTCCCACAGATGGCCGAGTCCATCTCTGAGGGTACACTTCGATCATGGTCAAAACAGGTTGGGCACACCGTCGAGGCTGATGAGGTTGCAACCATTGAGACGGATAAGGTGTGTATCAGTTTATTGCCGCCTCTGAAACACTAATCCTCCCTCACGTTAGATTGACGTTAGTGTCAATGCGCTTTCAGCAGGGAAGATTGTGGAGTTGCTTGCAAAGGAGGAAGACACCGTCAGCGTCGGCCAGGACCTCTTCATAATTGAACCTGGCGAAGGTGGTGGTAACTTACGTGATACATCACATTTTCACATGGCTCTAGCATCTGCTGCTCCTGAGGAGTCGAAGACAGATCCTGAAGAACCTAGGGACCAGCAACTGGACAAGACGACACCAAAGCCGCGCACACCATCAGCTGCTGACAAGCAGAGCCCTCCAGAAGGGACCCAAAGAGTCCAAGAAGGAGGTGAAGAAGCAGGATTCAAAGCCAAAAGAGGACAAGTCTAAAGCACTTATTTCTGCGCCGAAGGCCCCCGGCAATCGGGGCGAGACAAGGGTATGTGGTAATGTTGACGCGCTTCGTCCTTTAGGTTAAGATGAACCGAATATGCCTGCGCATTGCCGAGCGTTTGAAGGAATCGTAAAACGCTGTCGCTTCGCTCACGACCTTCAATGAGATCGACATGTCCTCTCTCATGGAGATGCGGAAGAAGTACAAGGACGAAGTGCTCAAAGAACATGATGTCAAACTCGGCTTTATGAGCGCGTTCGCTCATGCGTGCGCTCTGGCACTGAAGGAGATTCCTGCTGCAAATGCGTCCATCGAGGGTGACGAGATCGTCTACTATGATTTCGTTGACCTGAGCGTCGCTGTCGCGACGCCCAAGGGCTTGGTCACCCCAGTGGTGAGGAATGTTGAGGACACGGGCTTTGTTGAGATCGAGAAGGAGATTGCTGCCCTCGGAAACAAGGCAAGCGCTGTATAGATTGCATTCTCCTGGAGCTTACCTATTGTCTTCAGGCCAGGGATGGTAAATTGACTCTCGAGGACATGGCAGGAGACACCTTCACCATGTGAGCTTCATTGATTCTCAATATAAACCAAATACTAATTTCGTGCGCTTAGTTCCAATGGTGGTGTCTTTGGCTCATTGTACGGAACGCCCATCATCAACCTGCCACAGTCTGCTGTGCTCGGCATGCACGCGATCAAGGACAAACCTGTAGTTGTAAACGGCCAGATCGTCATCCGACCCATCATGGTCGTCGCACTCACCTATGACCACAGACTACTCGATGGCCGGGAGGCAGTCACCTTCCTAGGTTCGTACTCTCTCCACCATTCTATCTCACGTGACCGTTATCTGATGCGTTGATGCGCCATTTATAGTGAAGGTCCGAGACTACATCGAGGACCCTCGGAAAATGCTTCTTGCATCGAGCTGAGCTTTCCGCGATTATTTCATGTTTTTATTTATTCCATCCGTGATGTACTACATGGAACACCAGGCTATAATTGGACTCCTTCATCCACAAGGGATCACTAATATTCCAGCCTCCGGATGAGGCTCTGATAATTCGCAGAAAGTTAACGAGTTATGTGCCTTTGTTTATTGATTCCCTTACACTGCTATATTCGCTTGTATTTATTGTCAACGTTGTTAACCATAATACAGCAAATACTTGATCACGGCGCTTGCACGAAGCAAAGATTAAATTAAATCATTGAGCTCTAATGCTCACTGTCCCAGTCTCAGACAGTTCTGTTTAGACCAGAAACGTAGTCATGCTCTCGTGGACCGACCTGGCAGTGTGAACAGGATTTTGGAACGTGTCACTACTCAAGAAGCCCAAAAACTTTCAATAGAGGTCTCTATTAAACTATAAAACGGTTGCATGCACTTAGAGACAACATTTTGTTAACAAGCGGCGAACTACATCATGTAAACACTCACAGCATACTGCGCTCTTGTCAATCTTGCGTCACAAACGCTACTCAACTCATTTCCAACGTTTTGATGGGCCGGGGGTGTCCGATTCGAGCTGGTCATCGCTGTTGATTAGAAATTCATCTAACATGCGCTTCCTGGATGTGCCAATATGAAATACAGCAGTGTTGGGCCTCAGAGAAGGGACGGGAGGTAAGGGTGGTATAAGAGGGGAAGTAGAGGGGGAAGGTTGAGCTGATGGGCCTGGAGTAGGAACAGACCTCACATGTGAGGTAACGACAAGTTCTTTCGTGAGAAGCATAGTTGCTGGAGTTGACGGTCCTCTGGTTGACATTTCAGGGGTAGACGCGGGGTACCGAAGCTTCCGTTGTCGAGTGGTGGAAATCAGGATCGATGGCTGACAGCCCTTTATTAGGCTGCGTGATAACGGGTTCAAACTGAGCAGGAGAGAGAATTACAAGGCGTGTCATGAAATCAAGTAAAAACACATGAAACAAGGCAATATCAGCTTGTTAGGTAGGTGGATCGAGAATTATCAGAAAAATGCGTACCTTTACAAGTTTCTGCCCTTCGGATAGAATATCAAGGCAAGGCAGTAGACCCTTCAAACACCACTCCATTTCCAGCCAGGATATAGTATGATCATTCCAAAAAGCCTGGAATATGTGATTGAGCGTGTCATCCCATGGACGGGGAGCACGCGAAAGATGTACGGCCCAGTTGTGACAGGCGTACTTGAGAGCGTCGGAAGCTGTTCGACTGCGTTGCAGTGCTTCATTTGCGAAACTCTTGAAGACATTCATATCATGAATTATCTCCCTGTCTGGTACAAGAAGACCTTCTGGTAATGCAGGAGTGAAATGACGCTGGTGTCTTAATCCCAGGAAAACCGGAAACATCAAGAAATCTGGCAAGGTCTTGAACTTCTGGATGACTCGAAAAGCCGGCAGTAAAGGCACATCGCTGATAACGACATACTCCTTGATTGCTTCCCATGTCCTCGAGAATTCTTCTATTGTCACCCAGACGGAGGCCGCAGGAGTGGATTGCCACGCTTGGCCATGGGGAGTCTGCACCCAGTCGCGCCCATACGGGGTGCGTAGCCAGTCTCGTCCTCCCTGGGTACGCAGCCAGTCTCGTACTCCCTGAGTCTGCACCCAGTCTCGTCCTCCCTGAGTCTGCACCCAGTCTCGTCCTTCCTGAGTCTGCAGCCAGTCTCGTCCTCCCTGGGTCTGCAGCCAGTCTCGTCCTCCCCGGGTCTGCAGCCAGTCTCGTCCTGCCTGGGTCTGCAACCAGTCTCGTCCTTCTCGGGCCAGCAGCCACCCTTGTCCTTCTCGGGTCGACAGCCACTCTCGTCCTGCCAGGGTTTGCAGCCACTGTCGTCCTGCCTGGGTCTGCAGCCACTCTTGTCCTCCCTGGGTCTGCAGCCATTCTTGTCCTCCCTGGGTCAGAAACCAATCTCGTCCTCCCTGGGTCTGCAGCCAATCTCGTCCGCCCTGAGTCTGCAGCCAGTCTCGTCCTCCCTGGGTCTGCAGCCACTCCCCTCCTTCCTGCGTCTGCAGCCAGTCTCGTCCTCCCTGGGTCTGCAGCCAGTCTCGTCCTCCCTGGGTCTGCAGCCAGTCTCGTCCTTCCTGGGTCTGCAGCCACTCTGGTCCTGCCTGGGTCTGCAGCCAGTCTCGTCCTTCTCGGGTCTGCAGCCAGTCTCGTCCTTCTCCGGTCAGCAGCCAGTCTCGTCCTTTCCGGGCCGACAGCCAGTCTTGTCCTGCCTGGGTCTGCAGCCAGTCTTGTCCTGCCCAGGTCTGCAGCCACTCTCGTCCTGTCTGGGTCTGCAGCCAGTCTTGTCCTGCCCAGGTCTGCAACCACTCTCGCCCTCCCTGAGTCTGTAGCCACTCTCGTCCTGCCTGGGTCTGCAGCCACTTTCGTCCTTCCTGGGTCTGCAGCCACTTTCGTCCTTCCTGTGTCTGCAGCCAGTCTCGTCCTTCCTGTGTCTGCAGCCAGTCTCTTCCTTCCTGTGTCTGCAGCCAGTCTCGTCCTTCCTGGGTCTGCAGCCAGTCTCGTCCTCCCTGGGTCTGCAAGCCAGTCTCGTCCTCCCTGGGTCTGCAGCCAGTCTCGTCCTTCCCAGGTCTGCAGCCAGCCTCGTGCGTCCCAGGTCTGTAGCCAGTCTCGTCCTTCCTGGGTCTGCAGCCAGCCTCGTGCTCCCTGGGTCTGCAGCCAGTTTCGTCCTCCCTGGATCTGCAGCCAGTCTCGTCCTTTCTGGGTCTGCAGCCAGTCTCGTCCTTCCCAGGTCTGCAGCCAGCCTCGTGCGTCCCAGGTCTGTAGCCAGTCTCGTCCTTCCTGGGTCTGCAGCCAGCCTCGTGCTCCCTGGGTCTGCAGCCAGTTTCGTCCTCCCTGGGTCTGCAGCCGGTCTCGTCCTCCCTGGGTTCGCAGCCGGTCCCGTGTTCCCTGGCTCCACAGCCAGTCTCGTCCTTCCTGGGTCTGCAGCCACTCTCGTCCTTCCCGGGTCTGCAGCCACTCTCTTCCTCCCTGGGCCCGCAGCCAGTCTTGTCCTTCCTGGGCCTGCAGCCACTTTCGTCCTCCCCAGGTCTGCAGCCAGGCAAACCCGTCAACAGTCCCCAGCCAAGATTGTAAATCTGAAGTATGATCTCCTCGAAGCCACATCATACAGACGACAGATGACAGTGGCTCTGGCGGCTGAACGAGGAACGCTAATGAGTCTTTTAACCTATGGGGGTCCTCAGGTTGCATGGCTTTACTTTGCTTCTTCAGTTCTGAGAGTGCATCCAAGAGAGCCGTGCTTTTTGGAATCGCTTTCAGCAAGCGGAGAGAGGAATCAGCGAGTAGGGCGTGCGGTGATGGCATATCGTGTTCGCGTACTTGAAGGAGGCTGCAGTTCGAGGGGTCGGACACGTAGTCGCGAACGGATGAGTGGTAGATATTCACGGGGAGACTGGTGTCGGTAGGAATATCCATGACAGACCGTAGCTGCACTAGCGTCGTCTCGGCATCACAGCCCTGACCTGGGCCAAGAAATTTCGAGATTTGTGACAGCGGCAGAGGGTCCGCAAGTGCAGCGACAATCGACAAGTGAAGATATGCCCGCTTGGGATCGGCACATGTGGAGAGGATACAATCGTACAACTTGTACACCTCCGTTCCTGCTAGCAGCTCGCTCGTCAGTTCGAGCATCAGCTGTAACCGATCGCGAGGATCCTTGTGTCCATCGTCGACAATAAACTTCATCATCGTGGACGCCACGATGAAACGTCTGCCAGCTCGACTTGCCAGCTTCGCAAGGTCACTCCCCGATGGCTGTGGGAAATCGGGATGGCGGCATTGCAGCTCTCCGAATGAATGCTGCAAAAATATATAGATGTCGTTGTCGACATCAGCACCGTCTAGCGAGATGATGGTAGCAACGCCCTCCCCAGAAGTTTTCACTGGTATCTCGCACACCAGCGGGCGCACCTCTTCGTTCTGAAAGGCTTTACAAATATGAGATTCCGAGCGACTCGTGAGCAGAATGTGGGTCGCGGGAAGATCAGGCTCACGAAGAGCCCGTGCGAGGGAAAGGATGAGATCGGTAAGCTCGGGTTCAGACATGCATTCATCAAGCGCATCGACCACAAACGACAAAGGCTTACATCCGCGCAATCTCAGTCGAAGTTTCCGGAGGGGTTGGAGAAATAATGCCTCCATCTGGTCGCAGAGAGGCGTGTCTGGGTCTAGTAGGGCAGGGTTGTTGCGGATTGCTCTGTTCACATCCTGCTGGATACTTGGAAAGTTGGTGGCAAGCTGGTAAACAAGCGTCGCAAAGAAATATCCAGCTGTGCAGCGGTTTGTGTGCTTGCGCGAGAAAAAGAATGTTCCCGCTAGCCGCTTTTCGACCGTCGTCTCTTCTGTCACTTTTAGATCTCTCATCTTTTCAGCAACTGTAAACGCGACGGCAGACTTTCCGACACCAGCCGTGCCATGGAGCCAAATGAGTTGATTATTCTCTGTGTTGTCCAGGAATCCGTGGATGTATTTGAGGAGATCAACCCGAGTCCCATCCAAACATTTCGGGTGGGGTTGACGTTCACGGGAGTTATATTGAGCACCCTTGACAGCGACCTGGGCCAACCTCGCCCATGTTTCTTCAAGAACTGTCAAAGAGGTTAGAGAGCATGCGAGAGATAAGAGATGGAAGTACTGACATCGATTGTCGCTCATTGATGAAAGTTGTGATATGTGGCGAGATGCAATGAACCAACTGAAAGTACTAGCTGGGTTCGAGGGTGTGTTTAGAAATAATCTGAGCTGTAGTTTTCTAGAGGGACGACGTACGAAGATTTGAATTGAAGCTTGTCAGTTGTGATAAGACTTGGGTTGCGGAACGATCAAGCTGGCAGAGTGTGAGGCGTGATGAAGATGGGATGGACGAATGAATGTTTCAAACTATTTTGCTCGCTGGATGGTTGTGGAATGCAGTTGAAAAGACGAGTAGGCGCTTGCCGTCCAGTGCTTGCAGGAGGACACGAGGCTGCTGTGCGGCCACACTACCAGTGCACAGCCAGACAGAACCACGTCAGTAGCTCAGAGATGAATGCCGTTGTATGATCCTCTAAGTGAACAATCATGCATTAGAACCTTTTCGGATGAATGCTTTACATAACTTGGGTTTGCTTCGTGCAAGCTCCGTGATAAGCAAAGGCACATCATGATAACTCTTTAGCGCTTTAGCTTTAAGTCTCCCATTTGTTCGATACAAGTTACAACACCAAGTGCACCGACAGTGACAGCTTTCAAATTTCAGATTGGATGTCGATCAACTAATTATACGAATAGGGGGTCACGTGCCAAAGGGCACAACACGGTCCAACTTGCAAGCGAAGTTCGAAGTTCGAACATACCTGACTAACGACTGTAAAGCTAGAGGGACAACCGTTATCCTTACCAGCTCGGACCGTAGGTGTATTGCCCATCAGTGAGCCTTCCAATTGCAACGACCAGGATCCAACATGCCAAGTAACGACCACAAATTGCCAAGTGCCCGCTCACGAGGTAAGTAACACGACAATAAACTTGAAACTTACAAATTCACCTCGGGATTTGGTTTACAGGACCCTCTCTTGCTGTGCGATTCTATTTAATTGTGTTCAATGCATTATCTGCAGCAGGATGGGCCTATGTCATTTACCTCGCTCTTGCCGTATTCAGAGGTCAAGGTGTCTCAAGTTCAGCATACGACTTCTTCAAACCACTTGCTTCATACGTGCCGACTTCAATCGTAGCATTTTTAACACCCCAGCCTAAAACAACGAACCTTTTCTCCACCACTCTCGCATATTTCTTACGTCCATATGTTCCTGCAACATACAAATCCACGTTCTCCGCCCTTGCACCTGTGCAGTCGCTCGCCGCCCTTGAAGTCTTGCATGTTCTCCTTGGGTTTGTGCGCTCCCCGCTCCCGACAACTGTCGTCCAGGTCTCCTCGCGCCTCGTCCTGGTCTGGGGAATCGTCGAGCGCTTTCCCCACACCCACTCGAGCCCGGTCTATACCACTATGATTCTTGCCTGGGCTCTGACCGAAGTGCCACGCTACGCATACTACGCGCTCTCGCTTGCAGGTTGCGGCGTGCCTTCGTGGCTCACATGGATACGCTATTCCACATTTTATGTGCTGTACCCCATCGGCGCAGGAAGTGAGGCCCTGGTCATGTTGAGCACCATTTCGGAGTGGAGTGGTGGCAAGTGGGTGGTGTGGAGCGCTGAGGACTGTGTCAAGGCAGGTTTAGTGGCAATTTGGGCGCCTGGTGAGTTGTGCATGTCATTTTTGCATTTGGTCGCTAACTCCTGGTTCTCGCAGGGCTGTGGGTCATGTATTCGCATATGATGCGCATGCGCCGCAAGGTGCTTGGCGTCGGTAAGGGTCAGAGGTTGGGAGCGAAGCCCAAAGACGGGCTTAAGGCGGAGTGAGAGTTGCCATGAACACAAAATGTTGCTGACTATTCGCAATACCCTAGAGCCATTTACCTTACGATATTATCACGCCTAAAATCGACCTCCACCATTTGTGTAGTGCAACTCAGTATGTGCAATTCAGCTGGGATATCTTCGATCTAGGGTGGGCTGCATACACTGCGTTGTACGTGCAGACACATAGGTGCATAAAGATTGTGTAGGCAAAGTCAGTCAGTTTTCCGAAGTTAGCTTAAAGTTCTGGCTAACGAGTCGGCGGCAGCAGCAGCAGCATATTGCCTATCGTATTTGATCCCGCCAACTTAGTGGTGTGAATATCCAATGTCTGGCTTTAGCCAAATGCAGTGTCTTCTTGACCTTTTTTGCATTGTGATTTGGGCTGGAAGGTCAGTTCAGGCTGTTGTGCGCACTGTTCAATTCTGCAGCAGTGGTATATTACCTGTCATATCTGATCCGGCCAACTCATTGAGATGAGTGTCACCTGCCCAATGTCTGGCTTCAGTCAAATACGGTGTTGTCCCCACCCTTTCTTTCAATGCAGCATTTTGATCTGGGTTGTCGGGTCAGCTCAGGCTGTTATATTACTAGAGCGCGCTGCTAGTCCGAATTGGAATCTATGCCAGTGGGTTTAAAAGACTTGCTTCGCCTTCAGTTCCCATCAGGTTTTCTTCACCCTTTACGATTACCATGCTTCCCCGCTTCCCCCTTTCCTTTCTCTTCCTGACTGCAGGCGTGTTAGGCTCTCCTATGTATGACATGGTGCTTTATCCCCCCAATGTACGTGCGGGATCCCTTTGGAACGTTCAACCACACCCAGGACTTGGTCACCTCGACCGTCGTCCCAGTCTTCGATGTCCAACCTGTGGTGAGCTTCTGTCTCATAGACACTTCTACAAACTAACTTGTATGCCCAGATGGCCGAGATAGATGTCCTCCGAATAAAATACCAGAACGCTCTTATTTTTTTGACTGGCAAGAACCTCGTGGTGCTACCAGATGCACTTTCGGATCCCGGGCTCGATGCGCTGTCAGACGCGGCGTTCACCGATACGACGAGCGACCTATCCGGTTTTGTACTGTTCGGATCAACCACGATATCGCAGCAGGCAAACACGAGCTTTTCTGCGATGAATGCCGCTGCTCAGAGTGCGACGGACCCCCTGACGGACGAGATACAGAGGACCATCAACGTCCCGTTCTACGGCCCACTCGGATTTGGGAAGAAGTCACAACAGCTCTCAGTGGCCTTTGACACGGGTTTTTCAGATATCTGGATCCCTGTGGGCTGCGACGATTGCATGAACCCGCAATATAACGCCGCTGCGAGTTCAACATACAGGAATACTGGGAATGCGTTCAATGTAAACTATGTGCGTCTCCCTCCCGCTATCTCGGTGCCGGCTTGATGTTGCTGGGCAGCAGGGCCTCAGCTATGCAGAAGGGACTCTTGCGTATGATACGATCAGCATGAGCGGCTTGAAAGTCAACAACCAATATTTTGGTGCTGTCACTGATGTGTCGAGTAACTTCAATGCCGACCCGATCTCCGGGTGTCTTGGGCTCGGTTTCAGCTCCATCGCGACATCAGGGAAGCCAACGTTCTTTGAGAACTTGATCATGCAGGAAAAGGTCGAAGCACCATTCTTCTCGGTACATTTGACGAGAGGAAAGGCGAGCGGATCGAAGGTACGCTGCGCGCTGGTGTTCATATAACTGTACTCGAGAGGAATTTTGTTTTAGATAACTCTGGGTGGCTACGACATGTCCAAGGCGGTGGGACCTCTGACATGGGTCTCGGTTATTTCCAAGGTTGCCCCTCCTGCGCTTTTAAGCATCCCGTCTAATTGGTTCTTATCGGCAGACCTTCTGGACAGTGCATTTCGACGGAAGCTGTTGTCGCAGGGAACTACGTGTCTGGTGACGTCGATGCGGTAAGGTTAAGCTCGTCAGCCGGAAGTTCACGTAGATTCACCTCGTTTCATGTGAACAGGTGATTGACACAGGTTCTAATTTTATATACGTTTCACAGGCTTTGGCAAATTCGATCTACGCCAATGTCAGTCTCTCGCTATTTGCTTCCCTCGCCACCTTACTAATAAATCGTAGATACTCGGGGCTGGCCCCGCAGCAAACTATAGCTCCGGTTTCTTCTCCTTTCCATGCGACTCCAACCCCACGATTTCATTCTCGCTTGGTGGGCACGACTTCGGACTCAGTGTCCAGGACTTTTAAGCTCGGACAAGATGGGTATGGGTCAACGTAAGCCAGTGTCCTTCATATAGTGCATATCGCCTGAATCAGCGCAGAAACTGCATTGGCGGAATCATTGGCCTGGACGATGCATTCATGGAAGGAATTGTCATCATCGGTGAGTTAATTGAGTATTCGGTTCGCTTTTTGGATGTTTGTTGATGTCGCGTGCCACAGGGAATGCGTTCATGAAATCATGTGAGTAGTATCTTGTTGCATGATGTTTTGATCCGGAACGCTCGTGACTGTGATTGTCTAGGGTACTCGGTATTTGACTACTCGCACGGAGCGCGGGTGGGTTTTGCGCCTAGCATCAATAATGCGCAGTAAAATATTTTGTATAATTGATACCCATGGATATATAGCGTCTAGAGATGATAAGTATTAGTACTTCGACGGTACTCCAGAGTACACCAGCTTTCTGAGTGTTTAAAAGGCAACGGAAAAGCAGCATTGACGCCAGTTTCCTGGGAAGGAAGGCCGTGCTCTGCTCACAGGATACGATCTGGCGGTGAAGACTTACTGACCTTGAACCCCTGAAATCTGTGTGGCTACGGACATGAACTACAAAGTCACGCTGATTACTGCACTTGACGCAGTCAAAGTAAAAACGTTGAAATGTAATTCGCGTGTTTCTCGTGCGGTGAGGTAAACAAGATCCGCGAGGGCTGCCACAGACGTTCACATGATGTTGTACAGCAAAATTGTCCGAACCGAGGCTGGCAATACGTCATTAAAGCGGGTGTACCATAACGCACCACCCGTACAGGATATCTGGGCCGATGAGACAGGCTGTTATGACAGCATAACCACTATAAAGTTTTTTTTCCGTTGCTGTGTTGCCACGAGGCCAAGTGAATAACAAATCAAAGGAGGTTGAGGATGAGGATGATCCGAGATGAATGCGCCGACGTGTTGCTTATGACCGCAGCAGAAAGAGAGCGTGTAACACGTAAACTTCGCTTGAAATGATCTAGTATACATGGAAATATCGATATGGTTTCGGGCAAATTTCAGATAATTTTGTGAGTTTGCAGGTGCCCGGGAGTCCAGTGTGACATTTCGGAGTCGAAAGTAATGCATACTGGCAGTGCTTTATTGGAGGTGGACATTAACAGGTCCAGCCCAAAGAAAAGAGAAATTTGGAATCTAATGTAATGCAGTATCACTTGGTGGGATGTTCAGTGTAACAGTGGGAAAGTACACATACTTGTGCATGTTTTTGCGTTCAGACAAATCAACGAAGCAATACCACAGACCGCAGACCCTTCAAACAACACTGCCTTTCGAGTCTGGGAGGGCGATGGCAATTCTATAGGGCCTAAAATATATGGTGAATCATGGATTCGGAGCTTGCGAGAGATGGACGGCCCGATTTTGACAGGCATACTACTTGTAAGCATCAGAAGCTGGTCGACATTGTTCTTAAGGCCGTCATAGCTTAGACAATTCCCCTGTCCGATGGGAAAAGACGGTCTAATACTAAGTACAGGGACGAAGTGCTCAAAGAGCATAATGTCAAGCTTGGCTTTATGAGCCCGTTCGCTCGTGCGTGCTGCAAATGCGTCCATCGAGGGTGACGAGATTGTCTACCACGATTTCGTTGACCTGGCCCGGGGCGTCGCTGTCGCGACGCCCAAGGGCTTGGTCACCACAGTAGTAAGGAATGTTGAGGACATGGGCTTTGTTCAGATCGAAAAAGGAGATTGCTGCTCTCGGAAATAAGGCAAGCACTGTATAGATTGCACTCTCCTGGAGCTTACTACCTGTTGTCTTCAGGCCAGGGATGGTAAATTGACTCTCGAGGACATGGCAGGAGGCACATTCACCATGTAAGCTTCTTTGATTCTCAATACATACCAATACTAATTTCGTGCGCTTAGTTCCAATGGTGGTGTCTTTGGCTCGTTGTACGGAACGCCCATCATCAACCTGCCACAGTCTGCTGTGCTCGGCATGCACGCGATCAAGGACAAACCTGTCGTTGTAAACGGCCAGATCGTCGTCCGACCTATCATGGTCGTCGCCCTCACCTGTGACCACAGACTACTCGATGGTCGGGAGGCAGTCACCCTCCTAGGTTCGTAAGAGTCTCTTCATCATTCTATCTCACGTGACCGTTATCTGACGCGTTGATGTGCCGTTTGTACTAGTCAAGGTCCGAGACTACATCGAGGACCCTCGGAAAATGCTTCTTGAAAGTTCTTGCATTGAGCTGAGCCTTCCGCGACTATTTTATGTTCTTATTTATTCCATCTGTGATGTACTACATCGAACACCAGGCCATAATTGGACTCCTTCATCCAAAGATGAGGCTCTGATAATTCGCAGAAAGTCAACGAGTTATGTCCCTTCATTTATTGATTCCCTTACACTGCTATATTCGCTTGTATTTATTGTCAACGTTGTTAACCATAATACAGCAAATACTTGGTCAGAGCTTGCACGAAGCAAACCTAATTTAAATCATTGAGCTTGTTCAGCCTAAATTTATGCGGCACTTGGTGTAGTATTGATGGGCTAGGGGTGTCCGATTCGAGCTGGCTATTACTGTTGATTCAAAATTCATCTAACATGTCCTTCTTAGATGTGCCAATGTGTAACACGGCAGTGTTGGGCCTCGCCGGAGAAGGGACAGGTGGTAAGGGTTGTGCAAGAGGGAAAGTAGCTGAGGGTGGAGGTTGGGTTGATGGGCGAGGACTAGGAATAGGCTTCGCATGTGAGGTAACGACAAGCAATTCTGTGAGAAGCATAGTTGCTGGAGTTGACGGTCCTCTGGTCAACATTTCAGAGCTGTAGACGTGGGTGCCGAAGCTTCCCTCGTCGAGTGGTGTCAGAAATTGTTGGTGATCGTATGTTCTTGTCTAGTCACTTTTTATCTTGTCTTAGCAACATATGCCACACGCATTATATCATCTTGTGATCACCTTGTATCATGTGCTGTTTTGTTATATCATGTTGTATCATGTGTTACGTACTGTACAGTTTCACCTTCGACACTCGGCCACAGATCCGCATGTCCATTTATCAGTAGCGCCGTCGCGTCGTCTCACATCAGCGCTCATCGTCGTCCTAAACACCACGCTGAGACTCGCCTCGTTCTAGTCCTATCAGAAATCGGGATCGACGGCTGACAGCTATCAGGCTGCGCGCGCGTTAACAGGAGAGAGAGTTGCAAGGGGTGTCATGAAATCAAGAACCTGAAACAAGGTAATATGAGCTTGTTGAGTAGGGCGGATCGAGATTGTTAAAAAAAATACATACCTTTGCAAATTTCTGCCCTTCGGATAAAATACCAAGGCAAGGCAGCAGACCCTTCAAACACCACTCCATTTCCAGCCAGGATATAATATGATCATTCCAAAAAGCCTGGAATATGTGATTGAGCATGCCATCCCATGGACGGGGAGCACGCGAAAGATGTACGGCCCAGTTGTGGCAGGCGTACTTGAGAGCGTCGGAACTTGTTCGACTGCGTTCCAGTGCCTCGTTCGCGAAACTCTTGAAGGCATTCATAGCATGAATTATCTCATTCTCCGGTAGAAGACTTTTTGGTAATGCAGAAGTGGAATGATGCTGGTGTCTTAATGCCAGGAAAAACCGGAAACATCAAGAAATCTGGCAAGGTCTTGAACTGCTGGATTACTTGAAAAGCTGGGAGTTAAAGGCACATCGCTGATAGTGATATACTCCTTGATCGCTTCCGATGTCCTTGAGAATTCTTCCATTGTCACCCAGACGGAGGCTGCAGGAGTGGACTGCCACACTTGACCATGGGGAGTCTGCACCCAGTCACGCCCATGCGGAGTCCGAGCCAGTCTCGTCCTCCCTGGGTCTGCAGCCAGTCACGTCCCTCCTGGGTCTGCAGCCAGTCTCGTCCTGCTTGGGTCTGCAGCCAGTCACGTCCACACGTAGTCCGCAGCCAGTCTCGTCCTCCCTGGGTCTGCAGCCAGTCTCGTCCTGCCTGGGTCTGCAGCCAGTCTCGTCCTGCCTGGGTCTGCAGCCAGTCTTGTCCTCCCTGGGTCTGCAGCCACTCTCGTCCTCCATGGGTCTGCAGCCACTTTTGTCCTCCCTGGGTCTGCAACCACTCTCGTCCCTCCTGGGTCTGCAGCCACTCTCGTGCTCCCCGGGTCTGCAGCCAACCTCGTCCTCCCTGGGTCTGAAGCCAGTCTCGTCCTCCCTGGGTCTGCACCCAGTCCCGTCCTGCCTGGATCTGTAGCCACTCTCGTCCTGCCAGAGCCTGCAGCCACTTTCGTCCTCCCTGGGTCGGCAGCCACTCTCGTCCTCCCTGGGTCGGCAGCCACTCTTGTCCTCCCCGGATCTGCAGCCACTCTCGTCCCTCCTGGGTCTGCAGCCACTCTCGTGCTCCCCGGGTCTGCAGCCAACCTCGTCCTCCCTGGGTCTGAAGCCAGTCTCGTCCCTCCTGGGTCAGCACCCACTCTCGCCCTCCCTGGGTCTGAATCCAATCTCGTCCTGCTGGATCTGTAGCCACTCTCGTCCTGCCAGAGCCTGCAGCCACTTTCGTCCTCCCTGGGTCGGCAGCCACTCTCGTCCTCCCTGGGTCGGCAGCCACTCTTGTCCTCCCCGGATCTGCAGCCACTCTCGTCCCTCCTGGGTCTGCAGCCACTCTCGTGCTCCCCGGGTCTGCAGCCAACCTCGTCCTCCCTGGGTCTGAAGCCACTTTCGTCCCTCCAGGGTCAGCAGCCAGTCACGTCCGTCCTGGGTCTGCAGCCAATCTCGTCCTGCCTGGGTCTGCAACCAGTCACGTCCACACGGAGTCCGCAGCCAGTCTCGTCCTGCCTGTGTCTGCAGCCAGTCTCGTCCTCCCTGGTTTTGCAGCCAGTCTCGTCCCTCCTGGGTCTGCAGCCACTCTCGTCCTCCCCAGGTCCGCAGCCACTCTCGTCCTGTCCGGGTCCGCAGCCACTCTCGTCCTGTCCGGGTCTGCAGCCACTCTCGTCCTGCCCGGGTCTGCAGCCAGGCAAACCCGTCCACAGTCCCCAGCCAAGATTGTAAATTTGAAGGGTGATCTCCTCGAAGCCACAGCATACAGATGAGAGATGACAGTGGCTCTGGTGGCCGAACAAGGAACGCTAATGAGTCTTTTAACATATGGGGGTCCTTGGGTTGCATGGCTTTGCTTTGCTTCTTCAGTTCTGAGAGTGCATCCAAGAGAGCCGTGCCTTTTGGAATCGCCTTCATCAAGCGGAGAGAAGAATCAGCGAGTAGGGCGTGGGGTGATGGCATATCGTGTTCGCGTACTTGAAGGAGGCTGCAGTTCGAGGGGTCGGAAACGTAGTCGCGAACGGACGAGTGATAGATATTCACGGGGAGACTGGTGTGGGTAGGAATATCCATGACGGACCGTAGCTGCACTAGCGTCGCCTCGGCATCACAGCCCTGACCAGGGCCAAGAAGTTTCGAGATTTGTGACAGCGGCAGAGGGTCTGCAAGTGCAGCGACAATGGACAAGTGAAGGTATGCCCGCTTGGGATCGGCACATGTGGAGAGGATACAATCGTATAACTTGTAAACCTCCGTTCCTGCCAGCAGCTCGCTCGTCAGTTCGAGCATCAGCTGTAACCGATCGCGGGGATCCTTGTATCCGTCGTCGACAATAAACTTCATCATCGTAGACGCCACGATGAAACGTCTGCCCGCTCGGCTCGCAAGCTTCGCAAGGTCACTCCCCGATGGCTGCGGGAAATCGGGATGACGGCTTTGCAGCTCTCCGAATGAATGCTGCAAAAATATATAGATGTCGTTGTCGACATCGGCACCGTCTAGCGAGATGATGGTAGCAACGCCCTCCCCAGAAGTTTTCACTGGTATCTCGCACACCAGCGGGCGCACCTCTTCGTTCTGAAAGGCTTTACAGATATGCGATTCCGAGCGACTCGTGAGCAGAATGTGGATCACGGGCAGATTAGGCTCACGAAGAGCCCGCGCAAGGGAAAGGATGAGATCGGTAAGCTCGGGTTCAGACGTGCATTCATCAAGCGCATCGACAACAAACGACAAAGGCGGACATCCGCACAATCTGAATTGAAGTTTCCGGAGGGGTTGCAGAAAGAGAGCCTCCATCTGGTCGCAGAGGGGCGTGTCTGGGTCTAGTAGGGCAGGATTGTTGCGGATGGCTCTGTTCACATCCTGCCGGATACTTGGAAAGTTGGTGGCAAGCTGGTAAACAAGCGTCGCAAAGAAATATCCAGTTGTGCAGCGGTTTGTGTGCTTGCGCGAGAAAAAGAATGTTCCCGCTAGCCGCCTTTCAACGGTCGTCTCTTCTGTCATCTTTAGACCTCTCATCTTTTCAGCAACTGTAAACGCAACGGCAGACTTTCCGACACCAGCCGTGCCATGCAGCCAAATGAGCTGATTCTCCCCTGTGCTGTCCAGGAATCCGTGGATGTATTTGAGGAGATCAACCCGGGTCCCATCCAAACATTTCGGGTGGGGCTGACGTTCACGGGAGTTGTATTGAGCACCCTTGACAGCGACCTGGGCCAGCCTCGCCCAAGTTCCTTCGAGAACTGTCAAAGAGGTTAGAGAGTACGCGAGAGTTAAGAGATGGAAGAACTGACATTGATTATCACTCATTGACGAAAGGTGTGATATGCGGCGAGATGCAATGAATCAACTGAAAATACGAGCTTGGTTCGAGGGTGTGTTTAGAAATAATCTGGGCGGTAGTTATCTGGAGGGACGACGTACGAAGATTTGAATTGAAGTTTGTCTGTTGTGACAAGAATTGAGTTGCGGAACGATCAAGCTATCGATTGATGGATAGTGGGGGGGGCGTGATGAAGATGGGATGGACAGATGGATATTTCAATTTACTTTACTATGGAAAGCTCGTTGGATTGAATGCAGTTGAAGAACGAGTATATAGGCGCTTAGTACAGGAGGACACGAGGCTGCTGTGCGGCCACATTGCCAGTGCACAGCCAGCATCACGTCAGAGTTGCTCAGGCTCAGCCATCAGGCAATCGGAGAGAAAGTTTTTGTAGATATAAATGGCAAATTCAAATATCATCCTAAGCATCCCGACTCCTACAATCAATTTATGGGAGAAATAATAACACCAAAAACCTGCATTTCACTTCAGCACTTCTGTGCTAGTGCCCACATGTGGCCATTGAGACCGAGTTACATAGCTGCGAATAGACTCGGAAACTACTGGCCCCAAAGCCTGTGCGGCGGCAGTTGACGTTGTTGTTGTCTATTATTTGGCAACAGCTTCCATTCCTAACAAGTCCAAACATACTCTAAGTAAATCTAAGACAATTGAATAAGCAACTCGGTCGCAATTGTGCTCCCTTACTGGCTGTGATATCGCAATCTTGTCAGCGACTCCTAATTGTAATCTGGATTTGCATACATTCCATTAGCTGTACATCCCTCTTCTCAACTTCTCGTCACCTGTGCACGAATTCATTATCGGGTGCTCCTTATAGATGACAAGCAGATATTCCAGAGACAATTATTGTCCGCTCACATCAACTTGCACACCTGCCGATATATCAATATCCTATATTCAGAATGGCGATGTAGCAGCTCGATGCGCTGTTAGACCTAGCACTACGGGCGGCAAGTGGGCAGTTTGGAGCCTCGAGGACTGAGTCAAGGCAGGTTTCGTGGCAATTTGGGCGCCTGGTGGAGTTGTGTATGCCAGTTTTAATTTAGTCGCTAACTCCGCGTTCCGGAAGGGCTGTAGGCGATGTACGAGTCGCATATGACGCGCATGCGCCGCAAGGTGCTTGTGTTGGTCAAAGCCAGAATTTGGGAGCGAGGCCCAAAGACAGGTTTATGGCGGAGTGACAGTATTGGCGAGAACACAATGTCACTGCCTATTCACAACACTCTGGAATGGCTTACTTTAGGATATCATCAAGCTTCGAATCATCCTCCATCAATTGTGTGGTGCAACCCGATATGTGCGAGTTCCTTGTCTATTGGACCCAAGGGAAGCTGCACATATCGCGCTTCACATACAGGTACACATGGACTTGTGTAGGCAAATATTTTATCAAGGTTCCGCCAACGACCAGAGCAGTACGTTGTCTGCCGTATTTGATTCCGGACTCAGTGACGTGGATGTAACTTGCTCGATGTCGGGTTTCAGTCAGATGCACAGGGCTCAGGCCTTTATTTGCCTTTCAAAGCAGCATTTTGATCTGGGCTGGTAAGTCTTCAAATTGTTATGTTACACCAGAAAGAAGCAGTGTGTTGAAGCGTGCCGCCAGTCTAGATTGGAATTACATGGTTTAAAAGACTTGCTTCAACTTCCAGCTCCCGTCATTTTTCCTCCACCCTTTATCACGTCTGCTACTATGCTCCTCTTCCCTTTTTCCTTTCTCCTCCTGACCACAGACGCGTTAGGCTTTCCCATGCATGACATGGAACCCTCGATGTACGTGCATGATCCCTTTGGAACGTCCAACCACACCTAGGACTGGTACAGCTCGACCGTCGTAGCTGAAATCAACATTCCAATCTTCAATTCGCGGGTCGCGGTGAGTTTCTGTCGTATGCAATCTTCTGCAAGACTAATTTGTATACTCAGATGGCCGAGTTAAAAGCCATCAAACTAAAATACATGGATGCACAAGATGTTTTAGCTGGCAAGAACCTCGTGGTGCTACCAGATGCACTTTCAGACCCCAGGCTCGATGCGCTTTCAGACGCGGCGCTCACCGATACGACGAGCAACCCCTCCGGTTTTGCGTTGTCCGAATCAACCCCAGTATCACATCAAGCCAACATGAGCTTTTTGGCGATGAATGCCGCCGCTCAGAGTGCGACAGACCCCCTGACGGACGAGATGGTTGGGAACATCGATCTCCAGTACTACGGCCCAGTCGGGTTTGGGAACGACACACACCCACAACAGCTCTCAGTGATTATAGACACGGGCTCTGCAGACCTCTGGATCCCTGTGGATTGTGGCGATTGCGCGAACCCGCAATATGAAGCTAATGCGAGTTCAACGTACACGGATACTGGGAATCCATTCAATGTGACTTACGTGCGTTTCTCTATCACTATATCGTTGCAGGCTTGATGTTGCTCAGGGATCCGGCAATGTAGGAGGCACCCTTGCGCATGATACGATCAGCATTGGTAGTCTGGAGATCGATAAGCAATACTTTGGTGCCGTCACTCATGTGTCGAGTGACTTCAACGACGATCCTATCTCTGGCCTCATCGGGCTTGGTTTCAGCTCTATCGCGACGTCAGGGGAGGCAACATTCTTCGAGAACTTGATTATGCAAGACAAGGTCTCGGCACCATTCTTCTCTGTATATTTGACAAGAGGAAAGGCGAGCGGGTCGATGGTATGTCATGCTTTAGCTTTGATATGATCGTAATCGAAATGATATTTTAGATAATTCTGGGGGGTTACGATATGTCGAAGGCAGTAGGACCTTTGACATGGGTCCCAGTTATTTCCAAGGTTTATCCTCCTACATCTTTATGCCTCCTGTCTAACTGGTTCTTATCGACAGACCTACTGGACAGTGCAATTCGACGGAGCCGTTGTTGAAGGGAAAAACGTAACTGGTGACCTCCATGCGGTAAGGCTCAACCCGTCAGCCGCATCTTCACTCATTGTCACTTCGTTTCCCCTGCATAGGCAATTGACACAGGTACTACTTTGATATATGTTTCGCAGGCGGTGGCATCCTCGATCTATGCCAATGTCAGTCTCTCGCTCTTCAAGTTTGCTTCGCCCATCATGTTTGCTGACGAGTCATAGATACCCGGGGCTGGTCCCGCAGCAAATTACGACTCCAATTTCTTCTCCTTTCCATGCAACTCTAACCCCACGATTTCATTCTTGCTTGGTGGGCATGACTTCGGCCTTAACATGCAGGACTTCAATCTCGGACAAGATGGAGACGGGTCAAAGTGAGTCAAAGTGTCTTCATATAATACACGCTACCTAAGCGAGCACAGCAACTGCATCGGCGGAATTGTCGGGATGGACGATACATTCATGGAAGGATTTGCCATCATCGGTAAGTTGTTTGGGTACTTTTGTTGAATGTGTGTTGATGTCGCGTGCTGCAGGGGATGAGTTTTTGAAATCATGTGAGTACTGTCTTGTTTACACGAGTTTGATCTGGAACGCTCGCGATTATCGTCGTCCAGGGTATTCGGTGTATGACTATTCCCATGGAGCGCGTGTGGGTTTCGCGCCGAGTATTAATAATGCGCAGTAGGGATTTTGGAATTCTAGATACCCCTATAGACACTAGCGTGTCTAAGTTTGGGAGAGATGGTATGCCTGAGTACACGGTGTCGCTACTATCATGGTTATTATTACTTCGACGGACTTCGGATTATATCAACTGAACGTGAAGAAGTTTAGATCAGAGCCTTCGTTCCGCAGCCGATGTAAGGCACAACAAGGAGTTAGTGCGATTCTGTCAACATCTAGTGGTGACAGATAAACAGAATTGATATTGATAATAACGGTTATTATTACTTGGCCGGACTGACTTCAGATTACATCAATATGATAGTAATGGTAGGTGACTGTCGACGTCAAAAGGTAACCCCATGGACGAAGAGTCTCCCTGGGAATACTCTGTTCACAGGGGTTATCTTGTGGTATTACCTCGAACCCCTGAAAGAAGCTGATTGATATCAGTCTAACGTCATCGATCACGACGAAGTGAGGTGCACCGAGACTTAACATCGCCGTCGCAGTTCCCGATATTGATCGCTGTGTGAACCATTGAGCGAATTCAGAGCTATATATATGTCCTCGGTGCCCCCTTCTCAAAGACCGATCAAAGCTTGAGGTTGGCAGTGATTACCGTCAAGTCTACTCAGTAATCACATATCTATTTCCCCCGTTGCGTGTATAGCGCCGGGTCCGGGTGACCGGGAGCTACAGCGTGAGCTATATCCGGGTGGTTACGGACATGAACTAGAAAGCGGCGATGATTGCACTTGAAGCGGTCAGAGCGACAACCTTGACATTGAAGACTTGCGGTGTGGTGTCGCAGACGAGTGTTTACACGTGTTCGTGGTCAAGATCCGCGAGGGGCTGCCACAGATGTTCACATGATGTGTATATGCACCACCGTACAGGATTGCCCTATGACAGCATAAGGGCAAGGCTGTTCCTTTTGCTGTGTTGCCACGAGGCCAAGTTAAATTACCCGGTATGACATCAGAAATAAATAGAGGATGTCGAAGAAGAGAACATTCTACACAGTTCGGACACAAGCCGAAATGCACGCTTTGGTCAGTGATGCGCATTGATGCCATCGTTTTGTTCATAACCGGTCGGTGTGACGCGTGACCTCACTTGAAAGCGATAGAGTATATATGGAAATCTCGATTATCGCTGTCCCTCCACCTCAACAACCACAACTGACTTTCGATGCAGCCAGATTCTGCGTCCGTTCAGGACAACGTTTCTTCTTATAATCCTCCTAGACCCGTTCCAGATCCTGTATCGTCCCAGAGACCAGCACCACGTCCGCCACCCCCTTCGAATGGTGGTGCTCCCCGCAACACTTTAAGTGGTCTATTCGCAAACAGAGGAGGAAATGCTCCAATACCCCCTTCATTGCAGGCGAAAATGACAGCAGTATGTACTTTACTTTTCCATCTTTGATTTCACTGAAAATTTTCGTTGCTGTGTCTGACCTACCTTGTTCAGATGTTGAATCGCGGATCATCTGCGTCACCCGGTTCGGCCCCTCTCTCCCTCGATGCCACAACAAGGGCACTGCAACATGCTTCCATAAACGAATCAAACCATCCTATTCTTCAATCTTCTCACACATATTCTGCTTCACCAGGCTCGTCATCGGCTGCTACACGCGCTCGCGGACGCGGTGGCGGTGTTCCTGCTGCGGGCAGACGCAATAGGCCAGCATTCAAATTATCCGACATAAACCCTGAAACAGGAGGTGGTGCTATCGGTGCAGGGCTTGGAGCAGGGCGTCCATCGCTAGCTGAAGCCAGGAGAGGGCCCTCATCATTTGATACTCCTTTTTCAAATTTCAACAGGATCGTGTGCGTATCTCTCTCTTTCTCTTCTCCCGTTATCATGAATCAAAACCAACTTCTTCCCTCTTTTAGTGATCCTTCTGGACGCCTCAACTTCGCCGGGAAAGCAGTTCTCCATGCCGAGGGTGTCGATTTTCCAATGGACCATCTTATGCTATAAATATGGAAGAGCTCGTTCTCGAGCATGAGCTCGGCCGCGGTAACTATGGCACAGTCAAGAAGGTTCTCCATCGACCGACAAAGGTCGAGATGGCTATGAAGGTTCAAACCCCTGACACGTTTTTGATCCCCTTATCTAAACATCACTTCCAGGAAATTCGTCTCGAGCTAGACTCCACTAAACTTAATGGAATACTGATGGAGTTGGACATCCTGCACCGCGCCCTAAGCTCATACAACATTGTGGATTTCTATGGTGCCTTCTTCGTGGAATCGTGCGTGTACTACTGCATGGAGTACATGGATGGTGGTTCGCTGGCTTCTTTGTGTTGCTTTCCGAATGGTAATGTTTCTCTACCGCCAAGTTTATCTACCAGTCCGGGCTCTGTATGGACATCTAGCCCTCCACCACTTGCCGATGAGCACCTCTGCCGCATCGCTTCATCCATGTCCCATGGACTAGAATTCCTCAAAACTGAACTTGGGGTCATGCACCGGGATGTCAAACCTACGAACGTCCTTGTCAATTGCAAGGGCGAAGTGAAGCTTTGCGATTTCGGTGTTAGCGGACAGCTGGAGAAGAGCATTGCGAAGACGAATGTTGGTTGTCAGAGTTACATGGCTGTGGGTTCTTACTTCGGACTAGCACTGAACTCTATTGATATCGTGTACTTCCGCAGCCCGAGAGAATTAAGGGTTCTTCACCATCTGGATCTAATTTGGAAGATGCCTTCACTTCATACACGGTCAGTGCAGATGTATGGTCCCTGGGCCTGTCGATCGTTGAAATTGCGCGAGGAAGGTGTGCCCTAGTTGGCTATATTTTTAGTACACAACTGACCAATCAATAGATACCCATACCCTCCGGAAACTTACGAGAATGTATTTGCGCAACTAAGTGCCATAGTGGACGGCGAAGCACCTGGACTCCCAGAAGACGAGGAATTCGCAGACGAAGAAGTCGAGGTTTATTCTGGGTCTTATAGCGCATCACCAGAACAATCCAGCTTCATGCGCAAGGGAAAGCGAAGATGGTCTCCAGAGGCGCGTGACTGGGTTCGACGGTGCCTCATCAAGAATGCAGATGAGCGAGCCACCTACAAGGAGTTGCTTGAACATCCATGGATGCGCAAACATCAATGTGTTGATATGGTGAGTTGGGTAGCAAAGGCGATCGAATGGCGGGATCGGGGAGGGCGATAAGCAGGTATTGCGCATTCGCAGTGGCCGTTATGTCATGCACCCCTATCTGCATTTTTTTTGTTGCGCATTGCCTTCTCTCCACATAGATACTCGACGCATACCGCCATCGCTTTACCCAACATTCTCTTTGCTTACATGTATTATCACTCACACTCGCGCATTGACGCTGGTCGTTGATATACCCTAATCTCCTTTGTTATGTCGACATTGTCCATTATTTCCCCGTTCTCTTGGGATTGCAGTAGACCATAGTGGGCCATTATATTGTTTTGTTTCGCGGGGCATGTAGCTTTAGTTTTGACTTGCAATTAATGAGGCCGGTTGTTTGGTCTTGTTAGCATTTAAAGGTGTCACGTCTCTAGCTCTTTCAAGAACTTTGAGTATTTGTGTTTTAGATCATCGGCTCAAGCCGAGGTGTTCAAGCTTTCAAGCTGTCGTCACTCCACCAAGGTGATTTCTTGTCTAGTAACGTGTTGTCCAATCGTACTCACAGAATTCCACAGTCATCCTCAGCTTCGTGCTGTTTTCTTCGCGCGGCTTACTCTTTTTTCTGCGGTGCACCTTTTCGCCAGTCCAAAAATCCGTTCTCTGCCATGATTCATGTCAAATGGGACCGGGAGACTCTGCATTTTCCAGTGCCTCCTCTGGAGACTAAGCTCGGAAAACTGAGAACAGACCTAGCAGAATATACCCACCTTCCTCTCGGATCCTTCAAGCTCATCCACGCTGGAGCTGTGATGAAGGATGATTCCGCGCCACGTATGTACAGCCACGTATGTTTTCAGCTTGCTGCCTCAACTCAATATTTCTCAGTGACAGCTTATAAAATACGCGAAAACTCTACTATTGCGTTGATGGGCGGTCATTCACATCCATCAGCGCCGACGGCTGCCCCGTCATCCAGACCACAACCCAAAGTGAAAGAGCCTCCAACAGAACAAAGCACCATCACTGCTATCCGCACCGAGCTTGATCGTGTACGGACAACACTGGTACCAGATGTTGACGCGTTGATCAGCGCCCTGGCTCCATCAGTAGCCACAACCGTGTCATCTCACACGTCTGCTCCAACACCCGTACCAGGAAGTGCACCAACGCAATCATTTAGCTCCACTGCACGAGCTCTTCATCTCCCCCCTCCTCATCCTACGCCCGCTTCCAATTCATCGAAACCCACTTCATCAGATCACACGCGTTTATCTGAACTTTTGTTGCAGTCGTTGTTGCGTCTTGATGCTATGCATCTGGCGGGATCGGATTGGCCTGAGGCTCGAGCGGAGCGTAAAGCTGCTGTCCGTGAGGTTCAGGGAGTGCTTGACAGGTTGGATGGGGCTTGGTCGGCGCGGTGAGTGCTGACGTGTATGTAGAGTTGGCCTTGGATATGTGGACGGGCTTGCAAGATCACTATTAGTACTAGATGATATGTTTTGGACTCTGGATGGTACATTCCTTAATATATAGCGGAACTTTTGATTTTTATCCTCAAGGTTCCATGCAAATCGTACCGTGCTTCACTTCGAAAGAGTCCAAGACCGACTTCAGCCAACCCGAAGCTCGAATTGTTACTACGTACTGCGGACTACGACTGGCCACCAACACTGTACAATCATCTGAATATGGATTTACAGTTTCGGCCTGGCCTTGGAACTTACTTCACGTTGCGAATAGAATATGCCACTTATTGCACAGCTCTGCTCTTTCCTCGCACAGACATCGAGACTGAAAGGGGTTCAAAACTATCACTGCCTCGACCGTACGATGTTCACCGGCGACTTTGACTGGTCCTGGCCGTCCATCAACAGACGGCAAGGCTATTTTACATAAGTTCCTGCGCTTCAAATAGAATGAGGCAAGACCACAAACCCTTCAAACATCACTGGCTCATGAGCCAAGCATGAAGATGAATGTTGTAGAAAGCCTGAAATACGTGTTTAAGCCCGTCATCCCACGGCTTCGGAGCTCGTCAGAGATGGACGGCCAGCTTTGACAGGCGTGCTTGAGAGCGCCGGAAGCCGATCGACTTTGTTCGTGTGCTTTGTTTACGAAATTTATAAAGATTCCATAACATGGACGATCTCGATGTCCGATTGAAGATAAAATTCGCGTCGTGCTGATTTGAAGACACGCTGACCCGGATTTCTTAAGGAAAGGAGCACCGGGAACATCAATAAATCCGGCAGGCTCTTGAACTGAGATTGCTTGGAATGCTGGAAGTAAAGGCGATTCCGGGATAATGATACACTCATTGATCACTTCCGATGAGCTTGAGAATACTTCTATTATGAGCCGTGCAGAAGCCTCAAGACTGGACTGTGATGCTGACCATAGGCGTCTGCAGCCAGTCTCTACAAGATGATGGTAGTAATGCCCTCCGCAAATTTTCACTGGGATCTCGCACACCAATAGACACATCTCTTCATTCTGCATGGTCTAAGTATATGCAATTCTGAGCGACTGGTGAGCAGAATATGGGTCACGGGAAGATCATGTTCCCGTGCAAGGGAAAGGATGAATTCGGTAAGCTCGGTTTCGGATTCAGGGCATCGACAACAAACGACAAAGGCGGACACCTGCGCAACCTGAGTCGAGAGGTCGAAGAAAGAGAGCCTCCATCTAGTCGCAAAGAGATTTGTCTGGGTCTAGCGGAGCGGGTTTGTCGCGGATAGCTCCGTTCACATCCTTGCAGATGCTGGGAAATTTGCTAGCAAGCTGGTAGACCAGCGTGGCAGAGAAATATCCAGTACTTGCGCGAGAAAAAGATTCCTGCGAGCCGCTTTTCGACATTCGTCTCCTCCGTCAATTTTAGACTTCTCGTTATTTCAGCTACAGGAAACGCAACAGCAGACTTTCCGGCGCCCGCCGTGCAGCCAAATGGGTCGACTATACTCTCGGTCGTTTGATAATGTGTAGATGTGGTAATGTGGTTGATGAGGTCCATCCGGATCCCTTGTAAGCACTTCGGATAGGACTGGCGTTCAGGGGAGTTGGATTCGGCACCCTTGACAATGGCCTGGGAGAACCTGGCCTAAGTTCCTTCAAACGATGGAAGGACTGCTAATGAGGTCAGAGAGCGAGAGAGGAACAGGAGATGAAAATACTGACATTGATCGTCACTCATTCAGGAAGGTTTACAAATTGTAGGGTTCGAGGGCGCGGTTAAAACGGATTTGTTATCTCGTACGAAGATACGATTCGAAGCTTGACTTACAAGGCAGAGCCGATGTAAGTTGTGGAATTCTGCTATGGAAAGCTCGCGGGATGGTGGTAGAATACAGTTGAAGGATAAGCGGGCCGTTCATCTAGTTGCAAAAATTCTCATGTGTATTCTTACACAACAAGAGGACACGAGGCCGTGGTAAGTGCGGACATCAATGATTGTTAGCTCACATGGTCCATTGCACAGCCAGACGGACGTTGACAACCAACTGTTCAACAATCAACCGTTCGTGTGCTAGATGCAGCCCATAGCCTCATACCATATCAACCCTCTTCTTCATTCCTATCGGAACTTCAACATTATGTCCTGATGAACAAGTAAATGGTCCAGTGTTACTGCACTCGAGGAATTTACCAAGGTCTATTAGTGGGAGGATCAGCCATTTTTCCAGACAAATTCCTCGTGCAATAGACAGCTACTCGACATGCCATAATATTCCTTTGATGAAATCGCCTGAGAATCTTCCTGGACCAATCCCAAGAGGACATGAGTGTAGAGCATTGAAGGAAAGCAAGGCCAAGTGAAAATTTGCATGATTATCAAATGTCATTACTTTCGCAAACAACTCTAAGGCGGCTTCAAATTGGGGCGCTACCTGTCAATTTGGCATGCGTTATAAGGAGCCGCCATCAACACGCAAGGGCCCCAATCCTTTTCTCCTTCTCGGTTTGTCTCTGGCTTCATTCGGCGTCTTCTTCTACATCGTCAAACGTCGAGAGACAGCTTATCCGGCATCGAAGCAGCCTAGACAACACGACAACCCTCTTATTCCTCCCCGACACCGAGATCAGTAACTTCAAACCAAATCAATCCAACATGGCAGAATCCACGTCATCACCCGTTTTTGACGCCCAGAAAGTCACCGTCATTTATGTCCTGGGTGGGCCTGGAGCTGGCAAGTTCCCACTCAGAAACCGACCGTTGCGCATACGCTGGTCTGACAAGTGTCATAGGGAAAGGCACGCAATGCATCAAGCTCGTTGACGCATTTGGCTTTTGCCATCTATCTGGTTAGACCTTGTCACCTCTTTATCAGGGCTGATGCGAATATGGGACCCAGCTGGAGACCTTCTACGTGAAGAACAAAACCGAGAAGGGTCTCAATATGGTGAAATGATCCGAACATATATTCGAGAGGGTAATATCGTTCCATCTCATGTCACCATGAAGCTCCTTGAGAATGCTATGGCCGGAGAGATGAAGAAAAAGACGGGAGATGGGTGGGTGGATGGCAAGGGTCGATTCTTGATCGATGGTTTCCCTCGGAAGTTGGATCAGGCTATTGGATTCGATGAAACGGTGCGACAGAACGTTGCTCACTTCACCATACCATGATACTGACTTCAGGGTCCAGGTATGTCTCGCTTCATTGGTCATCTTCTTCAACACATCGGAAGATGTAATGCTTCAACGCCTGCTGGAGCGCGCAAAAACCAGCGGACGTGAAGACGACAATGTCGAAACTATTAGAAAGCGTTTTCGTACGTGATACCTGCTCTTGTTGTTCCTTGACTTACAACGAGATCAGGCACGTACAACGAGCAAACCATGCCCGTGATAGAGCATTACAGGGCACTGAACAAGGTTGCAGAGGTGAGCAATGGTTTACATCTATTTTCCGCTGTGCTTAGCCCTATATGTGTAGATCGATAGCACGGCAGCAGTCGAGGAAGTCTATCGTGCGGCGTGTGCTACCGTTACCAACCTGTTTCCTTGAGTTATACCCAGAATACCTCCTTAGACATCGAAATCCGAACACTTTTTGTCCTCAACTTCAAGCGCTGTTGGGATATCGCCAGTGCGCTCTCGAGTAAACTCAGGAACCTGATATACCACTAGGGTAGAATTGATGCTAAATACACTTGCTTCGTTCCACAGCTAGCACGTTGGTTACAGTCATTTGTGTTCTGGGTACCACCGGGCTCTCGATCACGAACTACCTTTTCTTTTTTTAAAAAATTGCAGTTTATTGTCTTCTCGAGATCTACTACGCCTTCCCATCTCGATGCTCCGATGATGATAACGTCGGAGGAGAATCGTTGGTGCTGTCTCCTATGCTTGCTCAATGTTGTGCCACCTAGTGGCACACGACACCAAGCATGACTCGCACTTGCGCACTCGGGCCCACCTTACGGCAGAAGATCAACAACTCGCGACAGGTACCTAACTAGGTGCTGACCTTGCTTGACTGACTTTCAAGGGCATGAGAACTGACAGAACCGCGGAGTCTGCATCGAGAACGCGGAATTGGTAGAGAAAATTTGAGGTATCCCTTCTTATCATTTCTTCAGCAAGTCCACTTCGACTGCAGTGCTTGATACCATTAACCTCCATTAGAATGGCACGGGCCGGGCGACTTGTTACTAGTGCCAGACAGTCCAGAAAAAAGAACTCCCTCGTTCGGACGTTTAAAGACCATGAAGACGCGGTAGTCGAGTTGCAGTCTTCCCCGATGGACGACGTATGGTGACGGGCTCGTATAAGATGCTTCGTTTGTGGGACTTGACAGACGGGGTTTTGTTGAAGCAGTTGGAGGGGCATACCAACAGGGTGGAGGATTTAGCAGTATCACGAGATGGCCAATTCATCGCGAGTGGCTGCAGTGATGGAGAGCTGATCATCTGGCGCGGAGACAATGGAGCTCGTAGCCAAACCTTCAACGCTCACTCCACGTCTTTGTTCAGTTTGGACTTTTCTCCAGACAGCACAATACTGGTAACCGGTTCATATAATGAAATGACGAAGCTCTGGAGGACAGAAAATTGGCAACTTCATGGATACCCAATCACTTGCTGCATGGCTCCATACACTAAATCAGTTGTTTACTGGATTCGCTATTCGCCGTCCGGTGAACATCTTGCCATCGCAACAGAGAACGATATCCAGATATGGAATCCCAGCACGAAGAAATGCATCGCAACTTTCAAGGCTCATGCAGCAATGGAAGGTGCTTTCAGTAGCACACTCCAATGGACGCCGGATGGGAGACGCCTTCTCTCAGCGGGCTCAAACCTTGATCCCAGTATATTGGAGTGGAATACGCACACCTGGCAGCAGGTTGGTGATCCCTGGAAGGGCCACACTGCCCGCATCAGCGACATTGCCATTGACACCACTGGCACTCTTGTCGCCTCCTCATCTGATGACGAAGATGTCCGCCTTTGGAAGCTTTTGGATCGGCAGACTATTGCCATATTCAAGCACTCCGATAAAGTATTCTGCGTCACCTTCACCCTCGATAGCAAGCACGTCCTCAGTGGAGGCAATGATAGCAAGGTTTCAGAGTGGGCAGTACCTCGGGACGCTTTGCAAGGGGATGAACAGGAGCTACAGCAGGTAAGTTCTTACCTGTCCCCCGTTATTCTATATGACGTCTTTTGAAGGCTCGAGACGCTGAACTAAACGTACGTGTCCACCCTTGACTCGTGTAACAAGATTTTAGCGTTTATCATGATCGTGTAGATTCTCGCTATGCACACGGCAGCTCGTGGTGCATGTCTCGAGGGGAGATTGGATGTCGCTAGTCGGCTCCTCATACAAGAGATCGATGCTGGTCCTAACAAGCACACCTCCTATGCCAATCGTTCTTTTGTCATGTCGCGACTATATTGTCATGAATCCGCGCTTCGCGATGCAAATCAGGTCAGATACACTAACCCATGATGACCGTAGGCTAACTTTGATAATGACTTAGTCCATTATCATCAAGCCCTCGTTGACAGGCTATATCTCCAAGGGCATTGCCCTCTGCGAGAAAAGGCAGTTTCAGGAGGCAACCACAGCGTTTGATATTGCGTTTACATTTACAAAGAAAAATTCGTCTTTGAATCATCTTCTTTTCTTGATCAAGGCAGGTCATATCCTTCTTACACGATCTGTGCCTTCTTACGGCTTTCAGGTCATCGCGCTATTCAATGCAGATGAACATGATCAAGCGATGCAACGCATCGGGGAGCTATCTTCTACTCCCCATAATGATCCTATTCCTTCTCGTATCGTTGAAGTGAGTATTGTACCTCAACCAGCGCCAGGTTCGGCTACTGACACTATTTTTCTGTCCTTCGCACATCAGGCGTATCTACATGTCGAACTGGGCAGGACTGCGTTGCGGGATTACGATCTCAATCTTGGACTACCTGGAGCCACTCCGCTGAAACCTCGCGCGCACGAAGTGGCTAGCGCTGTTGACCACTTCACCACCGCCGTCAATGCAAGCTCTTTCTTTTTCGGATTACCAATTCATACCGAATACGAGGTATTTATCGAGGTGTGTTGATATAGTTTAACGAAAAATCACTTTCATCCTCAACTTCGTTGTTTGCAGCTCTTCGGATGGGATCTCAAGTCCTTGTGGGAGACCGCGAATAAGCAACAGTGCCGTGCGCTCTTGTTGGCCGGTAAACACGGAGAAGCTTTCAAGTCGTTCTATTCCATGATGGACAAGTGTGATGAACCTACAAAAGCCAGCTTACGAACTTGGTTTAGTGGCAAGTCTACGATAATGTCACATACGCCACTGTCCTTAACCGCCCCAAATCAGCACTCTAGTCGATATGAAGGATATGAAGGATGCTCTATGGAGCCATCGCCGCGAACGGTTGCTTGCGCATTTCGGAGAACTCTTCCACCCGCGGTAGAGCAATCTGGCAATTTGATAGACACTGGATAACGGAATGTTATGAGACTCAAGATCTTGGCATCTCACCTTCAGAACGATACTATATACAAGAAGATTGTATTCAACGTTTACAGGCTCGATAATTGTACATGCATGAAACAATGGATATCAAAGAAACAAATCCGTAATTAAAATGACAGCACCAATGAAGGAGTCATTGAAGTGACTTGTGATCATTGGATTGGGTGCGCAGTATGTATGTATGTAGGACCTTCAACCTCGCCGCGCGGTCAATGATCCCGTATCCATATCCTAGGGGCCAGCGAGGGAAACCATTAGGCGTCATCCTGATTGTCCTCTGACACGTCATTGGTTTAAAAACCACTCTTTAAGTAGAAAATTCAAGTTGTGGGGTTGCGGATGGCTTAAGTGGATATGCCTCCAAACCTAGGACTGCACACCAGCGGTCGCCGGCCTTAAAGCCAGAAGGTCGTGGGTTCAACGTTCAACTCCCGCACAAACCATGGCCAGGGAGTTTTAGTGGGTATTGCGTGTCAGCAGAGCTCCTCATAACCGCCTAATCCGGCTTGCAATGGTATGCGTAAATGCATTTCTCCCTGGAGAGTTGGCACTCTTACAACGTGGCTTATAACACCGCGCTATGTGCCGTCAGCTTGGGGCCAGACTGTGTCGGTTGCTGCAGACTTTGTGCCTCTCTCTCTCTCAAAATAAATAAATAAATACATGTTGTGTTCTACCAACTTGCGTGACCTCTGAATTGATCAATTCTTCTCGCCCAAAAGTATGCGAATACCTACCAGAGCTTGTGTGGTGTGCAGCATTTATATCCCCAGTGTACCAGCCAGTCTCCAGCAAGATATACTCAGTGAACTTGTGAGAATTTGCAATTGAAATTCATATAGACATTTCGGTGTGTTTCCTACTATCAGTAATGTACATCCTTGTTCCCATAGACATACAGGTGCATATAAGTTTTGTATACATGATGATATTAGCAAGCGTCTCAGGCAGGCGCACCCGCAGTTCAACGTTGACCATCTACAGGAACACATCAGACAAGACCAACAAGCGACAGGTCTAAACAGGTACTCACAAGCCTTGGTCTCGTACTTGCCAATACCGACGATGATGTTTTGAGGCTCCTGAGCCTTGCCAGAGAGGTAGTTCTCGATAATGCTCTTGGTGCCGCTTGCGTAACGAGCCTGAGCATCGAGGGTAGTACCAGAGTAATGGGGTACCATGCCATTACCGCCGCCAAGGACGTTCTTAGCTGTGCGCAAGACGTGGTCTTTGGGTGCAGGCTGGACGTTCCAAACATCACCAGCGTAACCTGTTGCCATCTTAGCTCAATGTGCAGATATTATGTGTGGTGGGGTCACGAACCGTTCAGGTGACCACTTGCAAGGGCAGCAGCTACGGCGTCCTTGTCACAGATAGCACCACGAGCGGTGTTGACGAGCCATGCACCCTTCTTGAAGTGCTTGAGAAGCTCAGCGTTGACGAGGCCGAGTGTACCCTCGTGCAGAGGACAGTTGACGGTGACGACGTCGCACTGCGAGACGAAGTCCTTGAGGTCCTCGACGCGACGAGCCTTGATGGCCTTACCAGCAGCTGTAATGACACGAGTCAAGCTATATATAGCCGAAAATAGTGTGGTACAAACCTTCAGGCAGGGGAGCGTAGTCGAAGTAGAGGAGCTCCTTGCAGTCGAAGGGCATCAGACGCTGGAGAACACGGTAGCCGATACGACCAGCACCAATGGTGCCAACGACCTTGCCCTCGAGATCGAAGGCATTGCGAGCAATATCAGAGACCATCCAGTCTCCACGCTCGATCATCTAAGGGTGGCAAGCAATTAACAGAGGGAAGCACGCGCCAGCGGGTCGTCATACCTCGTGTGCTGGAACAAAGTTCCTGACGAGGAGGAGGATAGACATTACAACGTGCTCAGCGACGGAGACGACATTGGATCCTGAGACCTCCAGGACCTGAATACCATTTTTGACAGAGGCGTTGAGGTCAATGTGGTCAGAGCCAACACCAGCGGTGACACAGAGCTTAAGCTTCTTGGCCTATCAGGAGTATGAATAAACCGTTCATATCGATGGCTCGACGATCATCATACCTTCGCGACCAAATCACCGGTGAGATACCCGGGGTGGAATGGAGTCGTAATCAGGATTTCAGCCTATAAAGGAAGATAAGTACACGTGGATATATATATACACATAGTGGGGCTTGGACGTACATCAACGATGTGCTTCTGGAAGTCGCTATCAGCGCCCTCTTTTGAGTCTGAAACCTACACAAATGAATAGATTAGATGACTGCGTAAGTATGCTGAGAGCAACTTTGATCCATACGATGTACTCGTGGCCTTGAGACTCGAGCCACTTGCGGATACCGAGCTATATGGAAAGCTTGAGTAAGTCTATTGCAGATAATCTAGAATTACGAACCTGGTTCTCCACAGTACCAAGGAGACGGGGCTCGCTCTTAGCAGCATCACCGCCCTTGTAGAGGATAGCTAAGATCTAGAAGCGCAAGCGCATCAGATCTTGTAATCGATGATAGGGAGTTCATCATTACCTTCATGAGTAATGTGAGTTTCTGAGGACTAAAGGAAGATGTGTAGTTGGGAGAGTGGGTGGAGAATGAGTCCTTGTATCGATGAAAGTTCAGGATCTTTATAGGAGGTGTCCGGGGTGTAAGCGGGGCTACTGCGATCGGAAAATATGCATCAGCTGACAGTACTGTGTGGGCCTACCGTGCGCGTCATGGCCTTCCGGTTTTGGCCTCTGATGAAGATGCAAACGATCCGTCAATTACAGATTCCACGCCCAGATGGGGATCACGTGTGCCCACCCGGTCGCGTCCATTAACCAAAAATAAAACACTGATCAGCATCTATTGTATCGCGTTCCGGAGGAAGGCGCTCGCACGGTATAATTGCGGACGGGATCGGAAGAAACCGTTTTCCACTCATGTGACACTATATACGGCGGACGTCCGAGTTCAACAACAATATTAAATTAAGTAGACTTGGGAGATGGGCAAGGGGGCCTGTGACGGTCCGAGCAGTCAGCTTCATCTCACGTTCAAACGGGACAGTCCTTACCTGACACACACTCGGATGGACCTTGTTCAGAAATTAGTACGGATAGCTATAAGTTAGGCGGGCGTCGGAGCACCTCGCGGGAACAACTACCCCAGCACGGGAACTCCAGTCTTCTCTGTCATTTATGGTATGTGACATGCATACGAGAGAGGGACGACGAGCTCGTGAATTGGCCAAACAGAGATAATTACGAGTAGACTCCAGTCCACTCCAGTGGGAGTCGGACAAGCAGATACACACTGATCTTAAGTCATTAACAATCATAATCAGACATTATTGTCAAGCACACGCTCGTTTGGTTAAATTTGATATTTTGATGGGAACGTCTGCTTGGTTCGATCGGGAGTGGTTTTGGTGTGTAACCAGCGAAAAACGAACTGGACCGAGTTATTGAGGGGGTCTGATGTATTAATAATTGCTGAAGGTGCTATACTATGAGCTATTCCGTTAGCATGCCATGGACCCTGTCAAGTGAATCTGATTACTCACTACAATAAAAATCGCTATCTAGAACGTTCTGATGCGAGCACCTAATCATCATCCATAGGATCAGAACGATTTGATGGCATCAACTCAACTTCTTCTGGTGCAGTTCTGATTGACGTAATCTGAGATTTGTGTTGTGCGTTCTTTACGACCTCCCATTCCACCCGAATGAACACCCACATCCATCGTCGTAAGACTTCCGCAACCTCAAGCCAGAGCATGAGAGCACTTCCTTCCGACTGCGAATGCAGATGACTCGATAGTTTAATTGACCATGTCATACGGAGCACGAGGTTGAAGAACATAACCAGGGGGTATACCAGAAGTGGGTAGAGGAGCACTGGTCGAAGTCCATAAGGATATGACTGGTGACGGTATATTGCGCTACCAAGAACTTGGTGGCTGGAAGAGGTGTGAGACTGTGTGACAATATGTGCGTCGGAAGACCCAGCAATGGAAGAGGCTTTTGAATGGAGAGACGGGAGCACAAGGGGTCGCGGATTGCTTCGTGAATCCGCAGATCGCGGTTTCAAAAGGTTAAGACCCCAATCATTGGTTAGATCCCACCAGAAGGAATACAGCGAGTTCACAACCGCGGCTAAAAGCCTAAATAATTGATGTAGCATCTCACTTAGCAACGACAAATTTATGAACCTTACTTACCATAGGCGAAATAACGGATGTTCCCCGTGCCATGACTCCCGCGTGACCAATTCACCTTTCACTTCTGCGAGCTCCAGTACCACAATTCTTTGAGCGGCAGAAAGGAATATCACCGGGAACGAGGATGCGTATTTGAGTGCATTCAAGAGGGGTCGCTTACTGGTGTTGGTAGGAGACCAGTGCTCGATTAAGCACTGGCGGAAGCGAATAATATACGGTAGACTGGCACCTATGAGTACAGATTTGCACAGACGGGTGAGTGGTACGCACCTCATGAGCGTTGGAAGTATCCACTGAGAGAGGCCATTGAGGGATGGAGGAGACAAAAGACTTCCGCCTGGAAGTAACATACAAAGAGAAAGCCAAACGTCGCCAAGGACTTTTGCAAATGACGTGAACACGTCTGCGAAGACTACATCCGAAAAATACACTGGGCTATCCATTGAAGAGAAGAGACACCTTGCAGCGCTCCTGTTGGAAATTATTACAGCGCTATCATGAAAAGACGTAGATGATACTCTTACTGGAGGAACAGATCTCTCTCGCGTTTTTGGCACAATTCAAATGGGCATATGAGAGTTGTTAGCACACCCAAGGAGCTCAGGGCAGGGATGTATTTGAAGGTATCCACCAGCACAGTGTTCGAGTGAGTGGCAAGTCGGAAGAAAGACCATCCAGCAAAACACCAAGTTGCATATCCTGCGAATAGACGGTATACGGACATATAAGACACTCGCGGTGACGAGGATACTCGTGAAGACGAGGAGCTGGTAGGCAAAAATGCACGACCAGGGTGGAACTCTAGTGCTGACCCTGCATCAATCCCGAGTAGGTGCAATCCGTGAAGGTTGGTCGCCCATCCTAGTATGCCCAAGCCGATGAGAAAGAGTACGCGAAACGGGAGGGGGAAAGAGGTAGAGAGCGGAACTGCATCACCCAAATCCATTCTATAGATTAGAGTCGCAAAGCATGGAAAGAGCAGACGATACTGGCTGACACTGCGGAGGTCAGTGCAGGACGCTGTTGCAATAATGATTTAACGTTTAGACACCACGTGACATTGTCCCTTCTACTCCAACCACTATGGCTGAGAAGGCGGGTGCATATGGCACCAAGGCCGGCGACACTGATTTCAGGAAGAAATGGGATAAGGAAGAATATGCTGAACGGGCACGGAAAAAGGACGATGAAGAAAGGACCAGAATGCAAGAAAACGAGGAGCGTCTCAAACAAGGTACGCAATATCTACTGCTTGCTTTTTAGACTGGGTACTACTTCATCACACAGGCAAGAAACCGCGCAAGGCCCCCAAGGAAGACCTTCCGAAGCCGACAGAGCTCATGAAACGTCGAGAAACCTCTCTCGAACTGGACAAGAATCTCGGAAAAACCATGGTTGTGCAGAATCCCGGCGCACGAGGGCCGGGGCAGCCTGGTTTCTTCTGTGATACTTGCAATCGAAACTATAGGGACAGTACGGGTTATTTGGATCACATAAATAGTAAAGCACGTATGTCAACACAACGATCGCAAATGGTGCATATCTTTAAACACGGGCATAGATCTCAGGAAACTTGGTCAGACGACCCGTGTGGAACGCTCCACCCTCACACAGGTTCGCGCTCGAATAGCATATCTACGGGAAAAAACCAAAGAGGCATCATCCGCGAAGGCTTTTGATTTTGATCAGCGGCTTGCAGAGGTCAAGGCAAAAGAAGATGCTCGGCGAGCCGAGAAGAAAGCTCAAAAGCAGGCTCAAAAGGAGGAAACTCGCCTTGCACTTGCCAAAGACACTGTCATGGACGGTGATGATGAGATGTCGAAGCTCATGGGCTTCGGTGGCTTTGGATCCACCAAGAAATGATCATCTACTAATACCCACACAACCTCAAACTGTATCTGTAGCCGCAATTCACTGTATCATCACGCCTGTCTTCCACGTGCCTGTTATTATATTACCGAGAACTCCCGTCTTCGCATGCGCTAACCTAATTGTACAGCAGGTAATGTACAGATTCCGCCATCTGATTCTTGTCTACTTCTAGCCCCCTCTGAAATTATTATGCCCGAACCAGTGACAGCGTGAACTTGACGTCTGCCACCTCCTGTTCCTCTTCGATCACGAGTACCCCGCCATTTCTAGTTTTCACATCAGCAGGCGCGCTACGGATGGTCTTCTGAATGGCTTCTGCGTGCTCCTTGAGGGCGTCTTGCAACTCTGCCCCCGAGTCCTCCTCAAAGCAGTAGTACACGTTCAGGTCATCAGTGGCTTGCAGGCCTGCTTTTTTCCGAAGCTTCTGCACCCGGTTGATGACCTCTCTTGCAAGCCATTCGCTCATCAGCTCAGGGTGGACTTGAATATCCAGTCTGACCACGACATCGTTATCGGTATGGGTTGCATACTGGCCTTCAGAAGCGGGTGGCAACTCGAGGTAACGTTGCACGGTCAGGTCACCAGTGACTAGCTCAATGCCATCAACTGTGAGCTTCCCTATGTCGATGTATGCCTTGACATCGGTGGAGGAAACATTGGGAAGCGCGTTCTTAACTCGTCCGAGATCCTTGCGCAGTTTGCGGCCTAGTGTGCCCCAATCTGCGACAGCTCGGTAGCCAATGCCACATGCGGCCTCGTCGGTGGTGAACACCACGTCGCGTACGTTAAGCTCTGATTGGATGTAACGTTGCAAAGACTGTACATCGGCAATGTACTGCTCCTCAGGATGGAAGATAAGGAGTTCTCTGAGAGGTGTCTGTGTCGTAGATTGGTTAAAGCAATTCTCATGACGGCGAATAAAGCTTACTTTCAAGGACAAGTTATTCTTCTCCCGGATATACCGAGTAAGGTCAATCACAGCTTGCATGCGTTTCACCTGGCGCTCGATCACCTCATCGAAGTACTCTTCCTTGACGTCGGGGAACATGAGGAAGTGAACTGATCGTGCATCGGGAACAGAAGGATCCTCCGGGATATATTCGCGCAGAGTCTGGTACAGGTTTTCCGTCATGAAGGGCGTGTACGAGGACTGGCAGAACATCAGCATGGTCAGTCATGGTATTTTCTCATAGAACACGCACCATGGTCCTGCAAAGGGTGAACAGTGTCTCGAAAAGTGTGTTGAGAGCGGCAATCGTGTCCTCTTTGCCATCCTCGCCCTTTAATCTCCGCCGGTTGAACCGGATGTACCAGTTCGTTAGCTCATCGATAAGATCGAGGAGTCGCGGCAAGATGGTGTAAAGCCTGTAAGCCTTCATCTCGTCCTTCACAAGTTTGATGAGAGATTGACACCGAGCAAGGATCCATCGATCCATGACGTTGTTTGAGACAGGAGCGTGTGGCTTGTACATGAACTGCACACCAGTGGTTTTCTCAAGGAGCGTCACTTGGCCAAGGAAGAATCGGACGGAGTTCAACCAGGGCAGAAGAACGCGAGAAATAACGTCCCGGACACCTTCCTCGCGGAAGCGCAAGTTTTCACCCCGCACGATGGGAGAGTTAACCAGGAACATCCTGGGACAAAACTAAGCTTGAATGTAGCATGTATCACTGAATTGACACCGACCTCGTAGCGTCCGCACCATATTGGTCAAAGATGATATGAGGGTCGGGGTAATTTCTAAGACTTTTGCTCATCTTCTTGCCATCGGCGGCGAGTACGAGACCGGTGACAATTAAATTCTTCCACGGTGCAGTACCGAAGAGATGAGTTGAGAGGATGAGCAACGTGTAGAACCAACCCCGAGTCTGATCGATACCCTCTGACACGAAGTCACCCGGAAAGTTCTTGAGGAAAGACTCTTTGTTTTCGAATGGGTAGTGTGCTGATGCATATGGCATGCTGGAATGGTCGTGTTGTTAATACGGTTTGCAGGACGGGTGAGCCGAGTTACCTTCCAGATTCGAACCAGCAGTCGAAGACTTCCTCCACGCGCCTCAGGACGCCCTTGCCCATCTTCGAAGGAATAGTCAGGTGGTCAATTTTTTCGCGGTGAATGTCTGTGAGGCCAGTGACACCACTCAGCTCCTCGAGTTCGGCGATGGAGCCGATGCAGACAACCTGTGCTCTGATCAATTCACACCCATGCTGAAAAATGCTATTACCGACCTCTTCATAGTCATCACTGGCCCACAGGGGTAGTGGTGTGCCCCAGTATCGATTTCTAGATACATTCCAGTCACGCGCATTAGCTAGCCAGTTTCCAAATCGACCATCTTTGATATGCTGAGGCACCCTGATGAACAGAATTGAATCGACGTTTGCAGGGAAGCGAACAGTGCACTCACCATAGTGTGTTCAGGTTGTTGGTAACAAGCTGGTCCACAATGGGTTGTACGCGGATGAACCACGACGGCACGGCACGATAGATTAAGGGTGTTCCTGATCTGGGGAAAGAAGTCAGCGTACTGATCAATGTTCTGTTCTAAGGGCTTTACCGCCAGCAGAACGGATAGGAATGCTTGATGGTCGATTGCACAATGAGACGACCTTTCGCCTTCAAGACCTTCATGATCTCCTTATCTGCGACCTTTAGACCAACGGTGAGCACTGCCAAATGGTTCAATCAATCAATGATGACAAACTTTGATGTATATGCCCTCGAAATCGGTGACTGGCTTGGTGAATTTGCCACCATCGTCTAAGGGGCAGGGAGGCATCTCTTCGGGACAAAGGACACCATTTTCGATAGCAACGCGAGCATCATCTTCACCAAATGCCGGGGCTTGCTGCACGATACCTGTACCGTCTGTTGCCGTGACATACGTATCCACAAAAACGCGAAATGCGCGATCTTCATACTGAAGGATGGTCGGAAACTGCACGAAACAAAGGTATTTCACATACCTGTTCTGTGAAATACTCGAAGAGCGGCGTATATTTCCATCCCTTCATTTCGATACCCTTGTAAGATGCCAGCTTCTTGAACTTGGCTTTCTTGGGATCTTTGTAGAGAGTCCCAAGAAGCTGATCACAAAGTATATAATTTGCGTTGTGCTCTTCATCATGAATCTTGATGTAAGTCAGCTCGGGGTGAACACACAGCGCTAGATTGGATGGTAGGGTCCACGGTGTAGTCGTCCATGCTAGAAGGGATGTGCTGGGATCATCAACTAGCGGGAATGCGATGGTGACTGCAGGATCGTTTACATCCTTGTAGTTTAGCCCTGCTTCGAAGTTCGAAAGTGGGGTGGTGCATCCTGTAGAATAAGGCATGACGCGCTGGCCACGGTACACCATGCCTTTTTTCCAGAGCTCCGAGAACGCCCACCACTCGCTTTCCATGAAAGGCGTGTTTAGCGTTTTGTAGTCGTTGTCAAAGTCAATCCATCTACCCATGCGCTCGACAGTGACGCGCCAGTCTGATGCGTAACGCATGACGATGGCACGACATTCCGCATTGTATTTGTCGATTCCCATGGCCATAACGTCTTGCTTGCCAGTGATTCCAAGTTTCTTATCGATCTCATGCTCGACGGGGAGACCGTGAGTGTCCCATCCAAATCGACGCGTAACATGATGGCCTGTTACATGGGCATGTCGAGTGATGATGTCCTAGATCAAGGAAGCGGACGTTAGCAGATCGGTCAACGATGAAGATAAGATATTACTGTGATCACATACCTTGATGGTACCCGCGAGAAGGTGACCATAGTGAGGAAGACCAGTCGCAAAAGGAGGACCGTCGAAGAAGACATATTCCGGTTTGCCTTCAGACAGCTTCAAACTTGTCTGGAAAGCATCAATCTCGCGCCAGTAAGCGATTACTTTCTCCTCCTCCTTTGGAAAGTTGAATGGTTGGGTTACTAGTTCAAAAGACGCTGGTGAGCAACATAATGTACGGGCGTAGTCACCAAACTACGCACTGTCTTGTTTTGGGAATGACATCCTACTATCTCGACTTCAGCAATCGTGTAATCTGTATGAGCAGCCCTGTCGCGATGAAGGCGATTCTTTTGAGCCGATTCTTTTTAAAGTGATATCTTGATCTAAGGTGTGACTCGAGCTTCGGATTCTGACTCGGATATCAAAACCAAACAGGGTATGTATGTCACCAAGAAACGTGGATCATGGACCAGGTCTAGCAGCCTAACGATATATCAGTAGCGCTCGCGAAAAACACCAGTACAAGCTGAACAGTGTAGATCGATGGATGTGATGATCAATTCAATTCACGGTCACATCATATCGTACTATCTTGTAGCCCCTTCGAAAGCAAAATTTCGAACCCCGCGTCGACGATTTTCGGCAAACAGCGACAAGACTTGGTTTGGGAGTCCCGGGAGTTTCTCTTGTCGAAACAAAGAAGTCATGAACTTCGACGTCTTATATTATAATATAACTGCGGCAAAGCTCGGTGAGTCACTCGATTATCCACTCAAGTTGTCAAATTTCTGAGTCGTTGCTTGAGCATCACCGGTCGCTCAAGCTTTCTTCGCGTGACCTACCACCGTGACGGCCATTGAACCCTCCAGTTTAACGTTTAACATTCAATTTTCGGTGACTGTCAAGCTGCCAGGGCTATATTTCATGACAGGATGTCGTTTGAGTTTTTTTGCGACATCTCTTATAAGTTAACATTAGTAGCGCATCATGATACCAATGGGTCTATGTGCAGTTGGCAGGCATTCACAGTGACAGGCGCCATCCCAACGAAGAATCCATACACAGTCAATAAGCCCGTGGTGCTAGTGCCTATCATAGTGCTCTCAAAGTTTCGACGTGTTTCGACCTCAAGGGTGTCATGTTTGAACTACTTCCGCATCATTTCTGTCGATCCCAAACCGACATGTCCTCGTAATGGTTCTCAACACATAACTAGCGCCTGAAGCGTATACCGAACGGGCTTCCGAACGAGATAGAAAGGCTTCATCATCATTATTATCTCTCATTCATTCCCTGAAGAGCAATGTCGCTACTGTGTCAACACTGACCAGTTTGACCCGGGATGACACCTGCTTCCCGATGGCGAACTCTCGCCGACTGCAAGGATTGCAGGGAGTCCTTTCTTTGAGTTTGGAAGAAGGCATATCGTTTAGTAACGCGATTTCTTCATCACTAGCCAACGCACAACTTGGAGTATGTCCTGGACGGTTTTTTGCAGAGGGTTTGTTGTGCGCAGCGTTCATGCAGATCTCAGTGACAATCAACTTCTTGAAGGCCAAAGATGCGAACAACCGGAATCATCCCAGTGATCGCAAATGGTGTTATGTCATGAGTTCCGTGATTCGATGTACATTATTGCCGCTTGACTTTGATCTTGCAGTCACTATTCCCACCGCTTTTAATTACCCATACGAAGAGAGCAAAATTGTTTAACAAGTAGGGTTTATTTTATTGCTGGTACACTGTGTATGCATGCCCTGCGAGCAGGCCTATGTAATTAATTTTTGATGGAAGTCATCTCAGCTTGGGAAGCGTCCTGGCCAAAGTGGTCACCACAACAGAATCGAAATCTGTTTCTCTTGGACTGCTGCGCAGGTTCCAAACCTGCCGACGATGAGTTTTTTTTCTATCGGAATACGCCTTGACAATCACTCATGGATGGTTTCGTTGGATGTTAACTGGATCCAGCTAAGTGGTTACAGCGACAGAATGTAAATCTGTTTCGCTTTGACTGTGCAGGTTCGAAACCTCCTGAACAATAGGTTTTTTTATATCGGAACTCACCTTAACATTCACTCATGGATGGTTTCCTCGCCAGTCCATCTAACTGGTCTTAGCCAAGTGGTCACCACAACAGAGTCAAAATCTGTCTCTCTTGGAGTTGGTTCGAAACCTTCTGACAACATTTCTGCGGTGTATAGATCCTTGGAAGTCTATGTTAACTAGGCCCAGTCATTACGCCGAAACTTCCTTTTTATGTGATAGTCTGTTCATGAAAAGGAATTCACCTTCACCCCCGAGGGGGTCGTCTCAGAAACGTAAGACCGGGGTGTATGTGCCAGACTGGATTCTCGACCCGACTGACCAAAACTGTCGGGGCTCACCACCCAATGAAAAATGTTAATGGGGCCGAAGGCCAGAAGAATGCATGCAAGCTAAGGACAGTCAGACAGTCAGGAAAATGATGCAACCTCCCAGCTTCGCTGAAGCCTCATCGACGAACACTTGTCAGTCCTTCGGTTGGTTCTTCTCAGACACCACGCAGGAGTGGCCCACCGAGACGTGCATAACGGGAAAAGGGGGGCTCAGCGAGAACTAAATGACGATTTGACAAGTCTCTAACAAATAAGGTGTCAGATGATTGTAATCGAAAGGTGTAGCTGGCAGAGGTTTTGGGAAATGGGAAACCGATCATGTTCGACAAGAGCCCTCCTCCACTAACGTTGGAAGTAGGGGAACCCCAAATTGTCTGGCCCAGAGCTTCATCAAGAGTGGCGCGAAAAAATATAGCAGCTATGCACGATCACTGGAGCATAACGGGTTTGTACACATGGGCGAGTTTAAAGGACCAAGGCTGGACGTTGAAGGCCCTTGTCAGATATCAAGCTTGATCGATAATGGATAACATCACGGAATGGGCTCATCAAGCATCAGCACTTCAAAACGCCCATGTCTCCTTGATAACGGCTCGTGTCGATTCTGGCAGATGAGTTTGTCTATCCGCGTCTGCCGAGTATCATTTCTAAATTTTGGTGACGAGTTCGGGAGACGAACATGTCCAGGGTGATACATCGCCAATGGCTCCTTGTGGTCGGTGATCATTCCAATGTTTGACTCCTTGACTTCCCAAGGTCAGCCATAGAGATCCCGATGTGCGATGGGTATCCGGGATTACTTTATGAGGCCAATTCTTCATTGGGTACAAAGTGTGCGCCGATTCTTGAAGTTATCCTGCTGGCGTATCACCCCGTTCTCCTAGGGTGGTTTCGGATAGGCTATCTGGGCTGGTGCAGTGGAGGCTCCTAAGCATGTGGTACTTGAGTGATGGGCGAGTGGAAAGAGATGCATGTAATACAAATATGGTGATCCTAGTAAATAATACAGATGCGAATCAATAAAGATAATATAACAAGACAACTGTCCTTAGGACCCTCGCTTTGCATATTCTGTACACTGTTCTTTCATGAATTTCTCAAGCTTCACTGCGTTCCTATGGTATATCGATGTTTCGGGGTTGTACAACTTGCAATTATCGACCACCAGTTGAACGTCGTCGAGAAAAAATTTCAGCGAGGAGTACTGGTTCGTGTCCAATTTATGCTCCATCGTGCTGAAATCTGATGGAGATGTTAATACAAAAATATATAACACGGGAAGTTAAGTACAGACCCATAGGTCTCTTGATGACACCGTAGTAATCTGGGACCTCATCGGCGTTGACTGGGTTTAAGAAAGCCCAAGCTAAGGGATGGGCTTTGAGATCGGACAGGAGGCGTTGCATTTGTGTGTGCTCGGCGCTTTTCCCGGAGCGTGTGCTGCAAGAAGTCAGATACGACCGACTCAGATCGCGAAGGGCAACTCACCTGTGTTCAATGCCGGGCGTCCAACCGCTTTCTCCTACAACACAATTGAGACGCCAGCTCACTTAAAGAAGCGACAACGTACTTAGCCCTGGGACTTCCTTAGGATCCACTGTGATCCCTTCCGGAGCACCTTCTTGGAATTGCGGAAGACCCTGATACACGATGTGCGATTTTGACATCTCGCGGATCTTGGTGAGGATCGCTTCCCGCTGCTGAGCGATGATGCTGACTTTGTCAAGATAGTTGACCTTGCGCAGCATGGTGCATTGCATGATTGTCCCGCCTTCGTAGTCTTTGATGTACCCAGCCCACACAGAGCGATCAAGTGTAATCTCTTTCGAGAAGCCTTGTTTCTTGAAAAATACTACAGCAAAATTGTCGGCGTAGGTGAGGAAGTGCATCACTTCGGGGTATGTACGTTTGATGTGTTGTTTGAAGTTATCCATGAGCATGCCACCGTAACCCTGTCATAGAAGTTGTAGTCGCATATATGACGAACAAGGCCTCTGCCTACCTTCACTTGGTCCACAGATGCAGTAGCAAAGAAGACGATCTCCGCAAAACCACGGTGTGGAAAAGGTCTGTAGCAAATACCACCTACGACCTTATAACCATGTTTGATGATCGCGAGTGCTTTTGAGTTGTGGTCATAGACTAGACGCGCAATGTACTCGCGCGGCATCATAGGTAACTGTGTTTGGAACAAGGTCTTTAGACCAGTGAGAATAACCACAGAGCGCGGCTGTCGGTCATTCTCCACTGCAGTTATTTCGATGATCCCCTTGCGCAACTCCACAAAAGCAGCTTTTTCGGGCTTGTGTGAAGGCTTGAACAGCATAAGCGTCGGCCAAGCGAGAAATGGGGGTACAACTCACTACAGCGGAGGATGCTGGCCCCGTGTCTACCGTAACTCCAGTCGCAAGGCGTGTGAGTTGGCCCTCGTCCATCTTATCTTCAACCTTTACTTTCAGATCCGGGGTGCGACCATTGGCAACGCCATTTTTCTCTAGCCTTTTGTCTCCTGTGGGAGCTTTCTGTGTTTTTGACTTCATACTGGAGGTCTTCTTTCCGCTTCTCTGCGTCACAGTCTTCCTAGATGTCATTGCAGTGGCTGCATTCGAATCTGCAACTTGGGCGGCTAAAGGTTTGTCATCGTCATCGTCGTCGTCCTCATCATAATCTTCTCCTTCTGCATCGCTGAGTGAAGAGGAGGTCGTTCGTCTACGCTTTGGAGGTGGAGGGCCTGGAAGCTCGTCACTGAGTACGGAGGAATCCGGGGACGTTGGTCGATCAACCGGAGAAGATTCTTCTGAAACACTTAAGGAGGTCGCAGGAAAGATCAATGTAAATGACGTACGAATGGAAGGAGACACTATGCTAACCATAGAGACGGGAAGCTTCATTTGTTGCTTGAGGGAGTCGATGTCTTCATCTGCATAATTGAAATCAAGTTGCCTGCCTGCCTCCTAACACGATGCGCGTGCTGTCAGCGTGTATATAATGACGTGGGAGAAGACGTACTTGGAGAAGTTCATCAAGACGAACTGCAAGGCGTGCCCTGCGAGAAAATTCCTCCCGTCCTAAGGCGGCTAATTGACTACCGTGGTCTGCTACATTGTGGCCACATATACACGTTTCAATGTATGTGGGGCCATCCTCTTCGTCGGAGCCGTATTGTGTTAGATCGCCGAGTAGAGACTTTTGGTGAACATCATCATTCAGAACCACCTCGACGCTTGCTGGGGGTCGCAAACCAGGACAAGAATTACACGCAGTACAGGGAGAGTGTCGGGCTATCCTGACTGCGAGTGCAAGATCATTGTTATTAGCTTCAGATAAACAAGGATAAGAGAGTTTCATGGGGGCAAAAATTTGGATTACTATGTGGTCAATTGTGTGCAATTTATGATACTGCAGTAGGTAGCCCCGTATAGCAAGTAGTCATTTCCAAAAGCAGCGTGCCCCTGAAGCTAGCTGCAAGTATGCTCTTCAACGTTGTTTGCACTCATTCTCATTCTTCGAATTTCGAGAAAAGTAACGGGCATTTAGCACTCGATCTCAGGCTATCGATTAGTGAAAATTAAATGGTATTTTTAAGTCGCCATGTTGATGAATACACTGCTGCCATGTCGTGCCGTGTCAATGATGGGCTCCAAGTTCAAGCGTAGTAAGATATCCACATCGACATCGATGCACAATATATGATCTTATTATGGCCCTGGAGTGGCGCCCACTCGTGCGCATCTCGCGTAGTTCTCGCGTTGGATCAATAATCGACTACATATCGGTATATACAAGAATTCTGACCTATTTAACACGGGCCGCGCTGCAGCAATGACCCGTAGTGAGTTTCTAATGATACAGTGGTAACCTTTAACACATCCTGTATCAGCGGTTCAAGTCACTAACCAAAGGTATCCTATCACAGAGTAGACCGTAAGTCCTCTAATCGGAACACAAGTCTTCCACAATCTCTCCTGCCCTAACTCCCACCACACTCAATAACGTGTCACTCAATCCATGTGTTTCCTCTGCACAACCTTGCAAGTAGATCTTTGGAATAAATCCGTGACCAGCCGTTGGTAGTGGTAGAAGTCTATAACGTCGCGAGATATAGAGTGTATCTGTCATACCGGTGAGAAATATTTTTAGTTACTTGGGACGTAGGTGACGTACCAGAAACTTTGGTCTTCATAGATGTATATGGTTCATTCTCCTCTGCGTTGATACCCGTGTCCGGTGTCCGTGAATGACCATTTATTCCATTCGCGGCCGCCTTAGATGTGCCATTCTTCCCGTTCATGGTCGGCGCTCCAAAATCGCCATTCTTCCCGTTCGTGGCCACTCGAAAATCGCGATCCACAGCGAGGCGCGTCTTATCTGAGCTAGTGTACAAGCCGAAGTGCTTGCCTAAGTTGGATGACTTCAAGAGGTTCAACCATGAATTTCGCTCGTAGCCAGTAGCGCAGATAATGGCATCATATGTCATCTCGGAGAGCTCTTGTGTGAGGGTATTCTCCAAAAGAACCGAAAGTGTATCTGTATCTTCTGTTTCTGTGGGGGTTTGCAAAGGATTTGTGCTGATCTCCGCTGACGACAGGTTACTGTAAGGTATGATGGTGATGTGTGCACTAGTCCCGGGCAGCGCATTTCCCCCGCGTCTAGCGATGTCACCGTCTACTTGTTGGTCGTACATGACTTGGTAGAGCTGTCGTCGCATTTGTGAATTGCAGTCAATTAGCAAAAGACATGCAACTCACTGAATCAAGCGTATACGGATTTACCACCCCGTAATTTGTGGCCTTGTAGTCTGCCATTACTCTTCTTCGAGAATCACCTGGCAGATTATACATAACATCCACCATCTCTGGATTGTATATCTGGTTCGCAAAGGGACCGCCCTCGCTCGGGTTCAATGAGCCACCACGAATGATGAGGTGGAGGTTGTGCGTTTGGTCAGCACTCTTACCCATGCTGGTTAGCCGCGAGTTGAGGTCGAGCAGTACTTCCACTGCAGATTGCCCAGCACCGACAACCGCGATTTTAAGTGACCGAGTAGTCGCCTTCATCGTGGCCAACATCGGTTCTACAGAAGATATGTACTGAGAGCTGTGAATGATGCGACGATGAGGTAGGATGGTCTGAATACACCGCGGGACCCATGGTGAACCTCCTGGCGAGATAATTAGATTTTCTGAAACATCCCCAGTCAATTCATGCATGACAATATTATGATGGATCGGTGCTGACTTGCACGACGAATTATAGTTTCGCCAGTTGTAAGCACCCTGCTATGGACCTGCACAGTGCCTTCACCCCCTTCTTCGATTGCAATGACACTTTCGCCATATGCGACATTGATGCCTTGACCTTCCACGTACCGCGCGGCATGGGCAAGGTAATCCGAGTATTCCTTCCGCGTCGGGGTAATGCAGCCCCGATTGATGAAGTCCACCAGACGGTTTTGGGAGTGCAAGTATGCAACGAAGGTGATAGGAGATTGTGGCGACCTCAGGGTAGCCAAATCTTTCAGGAAACTTGTGTTCTTCCCTCTTAATTTCAAGATGCAGATAACATAGAGTTGCACTTGCCTAATCTGCATACGGGTACCTGGGAGGAGCATACCCGGATGCCATTTGAATTCGGGATATCGCTCGATAAAGAGAGATTTGTTCACGGATATCGGGCAGGTCTAGGAAGTCAATGACTCGGAATTCCACACGTGGTATATTGGATTGATCTACCTCTCTGGATTGTTCCAGTAGTGCTCCAGCAACGGCAAGATTTGCCGGGCCAAATCCAAGGCCAATGACATCGTACACGCCTACTGGATGAGCTTTAGGTGATGGCATGATGAGGAATTTTGATCTGAGAGTTTGCTGAATACCGTGCCCCACGCTGGAAACTGGCAGATAACAAATGATGTGCAGTCGGCGTCGGAAGAATATATCTTATCAGAAAATGGGGATACATGGAATGTGATGATCATCATGGTTTTATAGCATCTAAAATCCGGATTGCGACGGAACCTGCTCGAAGTAGTGTTGACAGAACTTGGGAGTTTTGCCAACAGCTGGTCTGGTAAAACTGGTTGTACCTGGTCCACGGCGTAACTCAGGTGCAAGAGAGGTGCCAGAACCTGACAGAACTCCAGTGCATCGGAGACTCGCGGAGATGAGATATAATTTAGACATGATAACACAGGTAGTTTGAACTCGTAAAATGCTGCTTGCGTCGGCTGAACCCTAGCTTGTCATATTCATTGTGCTGTAGTGGCGTGATCTACATACTAGAAGAAGATGACAGGCTAACGGAACTAGAGCAAAAAACGGACGAATGGTGGAAGAAGATGACAAAAGATAGCAGTGACAGGCTTTGCATAGAAATACAAACAAACACATCACTTACACTTATCACTCTTAGTTGTCACTGTTGCGTGCTATAGAAGTCAACGTTGGAATTACTATACCTCTGATTGGACTGTGACATCCAAACAAAATAGAAACCAATCGAATGCCTGTCATTTGTCGGAGTGGCGTCGGTCTGAGAGACACAACCAATCGAGTGTCTGTCATTTATCGAGTGGCGTCGCTCTGAGAGGTTAGCTCAGACTTGGGTTCAAATTTTCGCAGGCAGAACTTCAACTTAGCAATCAGTGGGACTGATATTGCAGCTGTAGATTATGTATCCATGATGTACAGTGAGGTGACGGGCGTAGACAGCTTGCAGCAGGAGACATTGACAATCTAACAAACAAGCAGTGCCAGGAAGGTGGCATAGCAGCGAAAAAGCTTCAAGTAGTTTTAGTCATTCTTGAATCTTGCGGCGAATTTTTACAACGTACCTACTACCCTCAACTTCAACCGAGCCTCTGTGACGCGTTACGCGACCAAGGCCCTGTGACGTGTTACGGTTGCCTCCACAGTATTCGTTGGGGAGGATGAGGTTGAGCCTGAGGCCTTGAGGTGTTGGTGAGTTATAGCTAGAATTAACAATGTGAAAAACTCTGTGAATAAAGTATGATTAGAGGCTGTAAGCTAGGGATCGCTGGATACGGTAGGTGTTGGCCTCGTTGGTGTGTTGGACTTGTCGAGAGAAGAGAAAACTGACTGTCGACTCCCTAAAGTAAGATGGCGGCCAAGTAGACGGCTTTTCATGGTGGAAAAACCTTCCAATCAATTCCGAAAGTCACCCACTCAAGGTCTTTGCTGTGATGTTCCTTTCAATTGTGGGGCATGCAGGCGGAGGAGAGCGCACATTCTCTGATCTCAACCTGCGCGACGATGTAATCTCTTAGTCGACACATTCGAAGCACTCGGAAAGATTCGTACAAAGATTCGACATCACAGAGCTATGAAAGCCGCGGAGGCTGGAAAGTCCACTCGCCATACTCATATGCACACTCGTGAAGAGGTTGGTATTGCTGTCGAGATTGCACAGGATCTTGAAGCATCCTTCGCGTGGGCACCTCCGAGTCCGCTCTCGACTGAGCCTTGTGATGGAGATGATCCAGAAACGACGCTGCCGTTGAATTTGCGGCTCTCGAAGAGTTGGAAAGAACTGAAGAAGTTCAAAGCATTGACCAAGTCGAAGTGCTCGAGGGAAATGTTTTCGATTTGGCGAGTTGGATGGCGGGTCGAACAAGGAATAATGCTAAAGGTTATTCTAGAATGTCTAGTAGGTCCTGGCCCCCGTGTAAGTCGCTCGGCTCAATTTGTCGGAGTTTCATTACAGTACTTGGGGAAAGAAGGACATGGCTGGCACAAAAGACCCTGGCAGGCGGGAGAGGGGTGAGATGGGATCTGATGGGATGAGATGAACGTTAAGAAGAAGGTTCGTGCGCAGCCGGTAAGTCTCTCGAGCGAGAGAGCTGCACGGCCATTGAAACCCATTCACCCCAGCTGGGCCCAGATCTGGTCTCTGCGGCTCGGCCCAGCATAAACGCTGGCGTGTAGGGTTACGTCACATACTGCCTTGTACGGCTTACGTAAAACCCGATAGAAGATAGGCCAATTGCCTTCTGCATCCTCCAGCATCATATCTGAAACCGAACTCGGCGCGGTCCTCTCGCACAATCTTGCACCTTTTTTTGCATTCTCTCGCGCCATCTAGCGCCATCTCACATTGCAATTATGTAATTTCACTTTTTCTCTTATCTGTCCTCCATTCTGCCGCTTCACTGTCACCCATCATTCCCTTCACCTCGTCATTTCTAGTACTTGCCTCTTGTATATCTGTATCTTGACTTACATTCACACTTTATTCCTGTGCTCATTGGCTATGGCCCACAACCGAGTGTACTCTATTAGCTACTGCAGTGCAATTTGATGTACCCATTATTATGATCAAATGAGAATGCAAATGTAGCAATATAAACCTTGTACTGGCTGTTACTGGCCTGCTGCGTGGTTTTCACTGTTTTGGTTTTTGGCTGATGAAAGACAGAGTAAAGGAGTTTTGATGGTTGCGGTGAGAATCAGATATCAAGTCCTTCCGCGAGTTTTGTTAAAAATTCGAGGTCGTGATAGTCACGAAGGCCGTGCATCATATTGGCCCGCGATATTATATGTGGTATGCACATACATGACGGCCCGTCATTTGCTACACATACTGCATCAAACATTACAGTAAGTAGACGCCGATGGATACCCGGAGGGAATTTAGTTAGCAAGCGCAAGTACTTCGAAAGTCTCCTAGATCTATTCCACACGTTGATGCCACCCACCTCTCGAGGGAATCCGCAATCGGTAGTGTGAGCAGGAGATTTCTGCCGCAGAACCCAAGACAGAAATCAGCAGGATAACTGTTTAAATTGAACGTATTGGCTGTAGGGATTGTAAATCAATGAAAAATTTCAGATCAGTACGAGCAACACACTATTTGAAGACACGAGAACAATTATCCACATCCCCATGTCTATCATCGAGGTATGATCTATCATTGCGACCTCCTAATCATCGGATTCTAGCACAGGTCCTTGGTTGTCAGGCTTCCATTCGGCACGATCATAAACTTTGTCTAGCACAAATATACTCACTTCGATTGACCAGTACTTGTTTTACTGCCTCTATAAAATACGTTGTGCGAACGCTATGTCGATATCTTCGAGTGATATGGATTTCGGGCCCGCGGAACGTCGTCATTGAATCTTGGTGATACTTGGTTTGACTCGGGGCGAACAGTGGTTCCGAGCTTGAGCTTGAAGCCGATTTTCCCTTTGATCACAAGCAGAAAATCGGATTTAAGCTAGGCGGCAACTTTAGAGCTGACCTCTGCATTAGCTAGTCAGACGCCATGATGCGCGCATGCACACGTAATCAGAGCGCGCTACACCCATCGCGTCGACAAGAAATCGTTACGACCTTTACGGCGATGATTGTGTATGCAGTGATAAGGCCTGATAAACAGTGATAGTAGTTGAACGTTATCGTTGATCGCTGCGTGTACTGTCATAGTCATAGTTGGAACCTTCGCACAATCTTCGCAACCGCGTCGGTAGTATTGCGAAGAAATTCAAATGCCCAATGAAAATTGTCACATACAGTGGCCATCACGTCGTACCTATATTTTGTGTGATTCGACGAGTCGGGAACTCGGGGGCGATGATCATGCATGGATTATTGGTATCTTGGACATGAACGCTTGGTAAAACATTGCGTGCTCCATCGGGATTTGATGGACAGACCTGGGTTCAACGGCAATTGCCACGCCGCCGTGAGCAACGGAGGGAAATGTCCTCATCTTGTCGCAATACTACAGAGTATTTCTCCCTACAGTTTGACGCTGACTTCTGACGATAATGACGGAATCGATATTGTGAGCAGCGAGGAGCGCGAGTGCATGTGCTGGCATCCGTCCTGAAGTGTAAGCTACCCTTTGAGATTGCTTTGAGGCATCGCTTAGTTTGAATGTACTCACAAGATACTTATCCGTGGTTGAAGTTGACGTTAGGGAAGAATTGGTGATTGGACTATCGATCAGCACCACGTGTGGGTGTCAGTGATTCACAACCGTTGGTCACCGGGGCTTCATTGACCATAAACTGTTGCCGAAACAATGCTGATTCTTTAGCTGTGTGGTTCCTACTCACTTCCGAGAATCAATACTGTACAGCGTGACAATGTCATGAGATGTTCTTCGGGTGTTCTCGCCCCAATTAGGCGGATGCGTTCCGAGGGGAGTGGGTGGTTTGGGAGTTCTCGCATCGGATGATGTTTCTAACGAGATCATACAGGGCTGTTAGATGATATAAAAGATGGCTTATCAGCCTGCCTCCGACTGGGTAGTAGAGGTGTGGAGTTCCAAACTGAGAGCCACTAAAATGCTTGTGGTGCACATCTATCAGACTGATAATCTGCTTCATCGCAGAATAGAAATGAGCAGGCTTACCAATGGACTTTCAGTGACATGCAAGAAACATGCGCCGCTATCGATTGTAAAATAAAGGGGAATCGTTAATTAGCGCATTGCGATTTTTAGCTCAAGGGTGTGCATTACGAGATGGCATGTAAAAAAACAAATTGAAATAAATTGTCGAGTTCCCGCATGATTGCAGGTGCGAACGATCCACGAGGCCACGTCAGCAATTTGGTTTGGATAGTCATATGCAGAGCTAGGGCAGGACACCGAATAACAAATTACTCTTCAGGGACACATGACTTAGCGGAGTGGCAAAGTGATGTTAAAATTTCCAATAGTTGCTTAGGACAACAATACGTACTAGAACAATGCTCATAACTGCAGTCATAGCACAAAAGACAATATGCTGGGAACAATGGATGGCACTAGAGCTGTGGTCGTAACCCAACGACGATGTACAACCACAAGTGGAGAGACAGGACCAAAAGCTTGCTGATGATGATCGTGCGTGGAGAAAGAGAACAAAAATTTGAAGCGCATCCTATTTAAGGCAGGAGGCGGGAACGGGAGAATGGCGCAAGGCGGCTGCGCGACTCTGCGCGAGAGGTTCATCTCATATGAATAAATTT